TTGACGGTCTACAATATCTATCCATAATAGAAAGGAAAAATTAAAAACGTCAAACAACCGCGTGACAACGGTGCGTACAGTGCTTTTTCTAAGATCTTCACTGAGAAGTTGATTTTGTTTTTATTAAAAAACTTAATTTTCCTCTAAGGCATGGTGAAAAACATTTGGTCATTGTTAAACTTCGCGGGCAGGAATCATTTTAATTCATATTGGTCATAAGTGCTATTCGAGAAATATAAGACTTGTTTCTAAATAGTTTATAAATTATAAAAAAGCTCTGTTTTTTGGGAACTTTATATTTGCCAGAGATTAAAATACGCACAAATCTCTTTTCGGCCGGCATACAATATTGGAAAACAAAAAANTGTAGTTATTTTTTGGCCAGTATATAAAAAATTACTCAAGCAAGTGTTGATATAACTCGTATCTCAGATATCATTGCTTCATTAAGAAAAAAAACATAACATTGTAAGCACTTAAAAACAAGCTATATCTCTTTTGTAGCGGATGAAATTACCGAACTTGAAAATATTTCCTTACATCGCATCGTTACTTGCTATGTTTTTATTATCGACATAATCTAACAAAACTGCATTTAACTATAATTATGTTTTAATTATGTTTTCGTTATTTTAGCAAATACCTATTGCATAATATTTACTATTTCTCTCTTTCAGTAATTTAGTGAAAATACTCTTTTTAGAAATGTAGTTGAGGATATCCACAAAGAATATCTCGTTTTTGTCTCCGATTTTTAATTAAAATTTTTGAGGCACACCTCTCAAACCGGGCTTATTTAGCTCGCGATGTCATGTACTACCTACGAGGAAAAAATTGTGAACGTTGGTTTCAGTGAGGGTGACACCTTTTTTCCGTGATTTACTCGCTACTATTCATCTATACATTTCATACATACAAATACATTATTAGCATGTAAATCACGAAAAAAAGGTGCCATCTCCACTGAAACCATCGTTCATCATTTTTTAACCAAATTTTCATTTCAATTGTAGACAAAAATTGTTGTCAGTTAATTTTTTTTATCATAATTTTTGATATTTAACAATTACTTGTTTGACAAAAATTGTAAATTACATGAAATAGACCACTAATATTGAAATAAAAAAAAAATAATAATAATAAAAAAAACAATGGGTTAAAAGTATTCCGAAATATAATTTTACTAAATTACACTTTTTAATCTGTATTTTTTATTTACTGTACTCATGTTAAGGTATTATTATAACATTTCTTAATCAAACAGCTCTCATATAACACACTTTTGTGAAAAAAAGCATCTGTTTGAAATTTTCGAAGTAAATAAAAAAAAAAGTAAGTAATAGATTTTTTTATAAATTCCAACGAAACAGTGTGCCTATATCGACAACCATAGCAACAACGTGCGTCTAAAGATGAAGGAGAGAAGTGCGCATAGTTTTTTAAGTAGGTACAAGCAACAACAGTAGTGGGTACCTACTTACAGTGGCGTGCGTGCCTCGCGGTTTTCGCGGTCGAAACGACGTCATAATTCGCCGCTTTCACGTACAGGCAGCTCATATAATAGGTGTACCCAACAGATATTGTTGCGCAAACCATACACACAGTGACGTTCTTTTGTTGGTGATCGTCAAAACGTCATTGTTTTCCATTATGATGTATACTTTCTGTTAGTAGTGATAAAATTCGCACAAGATCTGGGGGTTAATTAGGAAAATCTGGGATGGTTTGTGTACAATGTACGTAGGTAATTGTATTATTTTCGATGCGACGTATTTTTACGGTTTTCGTCGGAGAGTTTATTAGGCATGACTGCTTTACATTTTCACCAGAGCAAAAATTGTTATCACCTTTTATAAAGACACGTAAACCGACTATCTTTAATATTTTACATCTGATTGGGCTCAAATTAAGTTTGCAGCTTCATTTTTGTATCACAACCCAACTGATTGAAATTAAGAAAATTTCGTCGAAAGAAAAAATTTTGTAGCATGAAGATTGCATAACTCTAAGAAATTAAAATCAGTTTTTGCCCTTTAAATGGATTTATTTCTGATTAATCATCGCGTTGTTCGAGTTCATGTGAAAGGCTAGACACCCAATGTGAAAAAGACGGCTCTTGAATAACAAGATTCCCATTTGCGACAGCATGTATTAGAACATTTTAAATTTTGTGTTCAACATATTCCAGAATTCGCTTGTATCAGTCTGCGATGGCATCGAAGCATTGTACCCCCATATGAAAAAAGGAGTCTCTTCCGAAGCAGAAAAATACCAACGTACAGTCCGACTACTGCGCACTCGACCAGTTGTTCAAATTGTAAAAAAAAAATTTCTCCATTTCCTAAAAGTCGGATTTTTGCGTTCAATCCCTTCCGACCGAGTGACCAGCTGGTAGAGTGGAAAACTCGCTATTGTACGTTTGCAACGCACCTGTACCTCTTATATGAGTTTTTGTAGAATAAGTGCGACTAGCAACTTGAAAAAATCAATCATAAAACTATGTCGTGGGGTAAATTGATTTTTACTTTAAAATCGTTAAGAATATTTTCCAAAAAAAACGTTTTTCTGGGGAGCTGTGGTCTCTTAGAATCAGCGAAAAAGGTTTTTGAAGCCTTTTAAAGTCATTTGGAGGTATGTACGGACGTTAAAGTCTTAAGTCTTTCAAAAGCTATCGAAGTCTTGAAAAACTTTTAATGCCTTTAAAAGAATTCAAACATCTACGAATATTGGAGACTAGATGATAAAAAACTATAAAAGACATGGTAAGACTCCAAAGTCGTCCAAAGATGTATTAAATACTTTTTATAACTTTTTGAATGAATCTAGAAACTTTAAAGACTGTTAACTCCAAAAAACTTGAATAGTCTTTCAAAACCTTCGTAAGACTTTAAAGTCACCCAGGTAATATTATTTACTTTAAATAACTGTCTCATCTTTTAAATCCGTCTAGAAGTATTCAAGACTAAAAGTTCTTGAAAACTTTTAAAGTCTTGAAAAAACGTTCAAATATTTTTTTAGTCTTTAAAAGTATCGAAAGTCATCTAAAAACATTAGAGACTTTTGATGACCTCAGTCTTTGAAAACTTCTACTTTTAAAAACTTCAAAGCTGTCTATAAATATCAAAGACTGGCAATCATTCCGTAATCTTTAAAATAGTCTCTGAAAGACTTTGTAAGATCGTAAAGTTACGTGTAGGCACATTGAAGACTTTTGACAACTTGAAATAAAATCGACAATAATTCGTATGAAAAAACGAACAAAAAAAGGCACTTTTTCGTGAACCAAAAAAAAACTCAACTTACCGGCAAACGACGCCAGGAACAGCCCACCGATGCCCACCGCGACGAGCACTGCCCTCGCCAGCTTCATGATCCTCGTCCTTACTGGCTCACGAGCAATTCACATTCGCCCCGACAATTGCCGATTCGATAAATCGAAAAAAAAAAAAAAAAAAAAAAAAAAAACAAGCCCAACCTGTCGTCAGATCCGAACAATCGCGGAATAGACACAACGGAGCGTACACGGGAGCGCCTCGCCGAAGAAGAAGGAGGGGAAGCGGGGCGCGCCGGCTCCTTGCAAGTCTCCCTTTCTCACGCGCGCCCACACGCGTGCGTTTACCTATCACATGTACATTACTCACTTGCGATGCACTGACATTATCATCATTGTTGTTGTTGTTGTTGTTGTTGTTGTTGCTCACTCGCGATCGGCTCGTGTGTCGTGCACATATTTTACAACACAATGCGAATAAACGTGCGAAGCGAGTAACTTGGACGCGCGAGTTTGTACCACGAGATCTGGTTGCTGGTGAAAGACTGAGGGGGCCCCGTTGCCGCGGCCGCCGTTGTGGGCCCGACCGAGAGACCGACTCCCCCTTTTTGTTTTCTGTGCCGCGGCTCTCGCGGTGAGAGGAAGATTTAGAATCGATGCGCTGTTGTTTTTACTGTGCGCCAGGAGGGGGTAGATGGAGGATTAATTCGCGCCGCGATTACGTTTCGCTGATGGGAGAGAGACGGAGGATGGTGGGTTGTTATCGGGTGCACGTGCGAGCGGAGAAATGGGTCAGTGGGACTAGTGGATGCTTCTGTTGGTTTTTTCTTTCTTTTTTTTTTTTTTCGTACCTACTTTTTCTTTTCCCAGTTGGTCTGTTGTGGCTGGTTCTCGTACCGATTTCTCGATTGTCTCGTCTCGTTGCGCTGCGAGTCCAAGCGTATGATAAAATAACATTGGTTCGAAGCGCGGAGTTGATGTTTGTCTAAGATTGCATTTGTACTATGAACAAACGAAACATCATCGATTCTTTCAACTATTGTGGTGTCGATGTCATTCTTTCCTGAGTAGAGCATTTTTTTTTTTTTAGAAGATTAAGAGATATTTGCAACATATGTGATAATAATTTGTAACGTGGAAAGTTTTACGTCCTGGATAAGCTTTTGTAGATTTTCTTTCGCTTATGATCATCGTTAGGGTATTTATTCTGTAAACACGTGAAGAAATTTTCAATATAATATTTACAGAGCTAAAGTATCATCGTGATATTTTTATTAATATTAAACGAATTTACTCTTTTGTATTCAACAATGTTGACGAGAGTACATCATGATCGAACGAGGTGATCCAGTAATATTTTCTTAATGAATAATTAATGGTCAAGATGATAATGTTGATTATAATTATAATAATTATTATTATTGTTATTATTACCATCAATAATGATATTTATATTATTGTTATTATTATTATTATTATCATCAATAATGTGCACACGATTCTTGCATAAATATATTTTACAAAATAAAAAAACCGGATAGCTTTGTATTATAAAATTTACTGTTAATTAAAAGATATTTGCAAAAACAATTATTTTAGATTTTTATTGAGCGTGATTCTTTACAATAATTTCAACCCCAAATAGCAAATATTGTTAAAATCTTGATCCTCCGATCGACGTTTGACGGCAAAAATAAATTTTCGGGTCTTTTTTTATTTTTTATTGTAGAACTTCCAGTCAAACGCATCCTACGACGACGCGATAAAAAAGTCCGAAGTCCTGGAGAACCAGATAACCCAGCACTTCATACACCTCCACGGTTACCTGCAGAACCTCGAGCAGAAGCTGAAGAGCGAGCTGGTCGCTTACCGGGAGAGCATCGAGAGGAACGTCGAAGAGTGCGAAAATGGGCTCTCCAACCTGGCCGAGAAACTGAAAACTGCCTGCGCGGTGAGCCAACAATTTTTATACTCGATCTCTCGCGCGTTATTGTTTTGTAGCTGTATTTTTAAGTAGCCAAATATATATATATACGCATAGTATTTGAGGAATCATAAGTGTACTTGAATACCATTTTTTCCGAGAGGCTCATTCAATTTATTTACTCACATATTTCTTCCATTCTAATATAATATTGAATTAATTACTTCTCCCAAATACAAAGCATATGAATTAAATATTTTTTTCATTGCTGTATTTAATAGTTATTTATGTAACAAGTGCGGAAAAGACGATTTCCCGTACGAGTCGTGATTGACTCGCACGAGTGGCTGGAGTTGACGGGAACGAGTGCCAGTTGAGCACACGAGTGTGATCGAAAGGCACAAATTACCGTCACCAGCCACGAGTGCGAATCTATCACACGAGTGTAGGAAATCGTCCCACACGAGTTGCGTACAAGATTTTTCGCAAAAAGTGTAGAGTAAATAGTAAATACGTTGATGATTCGCAAGGAAGGTTGTGCGGGGTCCAGGAGGACCAAGGGGCGGAGCCCCCCTGACTGCAAAAATACCAAATGATCGTTCAAAAAAAAAAAATTAATTGTATGCCTCAAACATAAAAGCAGAAGTTGGATTAAATTGAAATTTTACTTTTAAAAATAAACTTCGAATTACTTGAACAAAAACATTTTCAAATAATTTTTCAACTGTAACAAATTATGTTAAAGGATCCCACACCAACACAATGGGATTGTGGTTCCCAACGAAATTTTCTAAAATTTTAATATGGTATAGTTTAATGGAATTAACAAAAAAAGTCATTAAGAAGGAATTTTAGTTGAGAGTTGAGACTTACATTAGGTAGGGTTATGATGGTTGTACACAGACGGTATCTTAATTCGTCTTCCGAGAGATTTCTGGTGTGTAGCAAAATTTTTTCCGGTGTGCGAAAAAACCTTTTCTGCACAGTGTGCGGAAAAAACCTTTGCCACACACTTTTTCTGCACACTATGCGGGAAAATCGTAACTCCACACGAAAAATATTTTCCGCACACTATTGCGAAATAGTAGTTTTCCTACGAGTTTGAAACGTCTCTGTTTGCGAACCGAGAGGTTTGCGGCCCGAGCCGAAGGCGAGGGACGTAACGAGGTTCGTAAAGGAGACTTTTCGAACGAGTATCGGAAAACTGCTTTTTCGCCCGAGGAAGTACCAGCATCCCAAAACTACCCGAGGGCGGAAAAGGAGACTTTTCGAACGAGTATCGGAAAACTGCTTTTTGGCCCGAGGAAGTACCAGCATCCCCAAACCACCCGAGGGCGGAAAAATAAATATTTTTATAGATTTTTTATTTAAATAGAGTAATTCAAATAGCACTTTTCAAGTATTTTATTTTAATCTTGATTTGTGAAATATTTATTCAATGGATTGTAATGAATAAATCTTTGAAAATTTTCATTGGGATTTCTAGCTGGTAAACCATCCATTAATATTAAAATTATCATGTAGAAGGGAGTTCTTTCGTGCAGGTTATTATTTTATCTTGAAAATAGCTTTTGTGCATAATTTTATTTTAATTACAATACTTAAATTTTAAAAATAACTAGATCCTAAAAACTTGTAACTAACATTGGTTGATCATTAAACACTAATTTATCAAAATTTTTATTTAAAATACTTAGATCATGTTCAAATATCTTTTATGATTTAATTGTAATTACTTGGTTAAGTCAACAGTTATTTTGGTATTGAAATATGTACTTATTTTTAATATTTTATTTGAAGAAAAACGAAATTTTTTAAATTGCACAAAATATATTTTCAACACAATAACTAGATTACTTTTAATATTTTCAAAAGTAATTTTAAACACTTTCCATGCGAGTATACTCAATCGAAAGATAATGTTTTTTTCCACGTACATTTTTTTAATATTAATATTTATTTTAGCATTTTTTTAATACTTACCACGGCTTCGCCTACCTCTTTACGTAGCAGCGAATGATATTTTTTTTACTGTTACAAAGTCTTACTACTTCAGCAAAGCAACCAGTAGTTATTCATCACATAATGTTGTTTGCTGTAGATTTTCACAAATGCAGAAAAGAACAACAAGAAGATAAACATAAAAAAGTACACGAAAAAAATATTAGAACTAGCAGATTCCCCGTGCCATTTTGTGGGCATGACAACAAGTGGCGAAGAATTAAGGTAAATTTAAGCGTGATTTTTTTTAAAAATAAGTTACTGATGCGATAATCTTGCGTACAAAAAAAAAACTGTATCACACTTTAGTATGGACCTCGACGACTCGACGTACGATAATCTGAGGCAGCACTTGCAGCTGAAGCTGCCCGAAATTCCGAAGCCGCGTCTTGTAATGACCGACGAGCTGCCGGAGGATTACGAGCTGGAGCCGATACCGGAAGCTGACATTACGAGTAAACTAATTTTTCCCCTATTGGTTCGAGTAATGTTTACTGATAACGATTTTTTTTTTTTCTTCCAAAGACGCCAGTTTTAAGGCCACCTCGAAAAAGGACACCTCGTCCGCTGGTACATCGTTGGTTAATCAGTCCGTGGATGTTGAGGACGAGGAGGATGTCGTTGTTGAACGACAACCGGTCTCTTGTTTAGTCACGGGTGAGTGTCGATGCGTCGCAGAGCCGATCGAAAATTCATTTAAGACGATGGCCAAATTTTTTCAGACCATTTTTGATTAAGATTTTCACAAAAGTAGAGTACTTTTTACCTTTTTTCATTTCTGAAAGGCCCATATGATCCCAGAATATTCAAACCGGCCAGTCTGTGATTAAAAATTCTAAAGAAAAGTTCCTACGTCAAGTAGGTGTCTTTTTTTTTTTTTGTGAAGTGTTATAGGATTTGAAATTTTCAGAATCTTTACACTTAAACAGATAGATTTTGGAAAATTAATTTTACCCATTTTTCATCTTGACACTCTTTGTTACAATTTTTTTTCGGTCAACACACATATATGTATGTTCACTTTCAATCATATCAATAGGTAACTTGTCATATAACCAGAGCAATGACTCTAAATTTTTTATTACGATTTCTTTGATAATTCTTTGAGCACGAGCAATTTGAACATTATAGTTTAGGTTTCGTGTGATAATTATGACTTTTTTTCCAGTAAAACTATACCAACGTTGAAAAGTTGGCCTAAAAGCTAGTCAGTTTTCGAATAAGAAAACGTTTTATCGCTTGGCTCGTTACATTATATCATATTTTACAACACAAGTACTAAAGAAGTGGCATAAAAGAAACCATAATCATTGATACTTGAACAATATTTATACACCTAAAAAATAGTTATGTTTTGTTTGCAAATGCGTACATGTCAAGTACCAAATTTATTATAAAAGTAGATTGAAAAATAAAATTTTTTCATTGCCAAAAGTGATTGATACTCACTAAATGAAAGAAACTTTGCCACAACTGAGTCAAACATACAGGAATGATCGAGTGCCATTTCAATTTAATACCCACGCATTAATTTATAAATGTTTTTCGCCCCTCACCGATCAAAGAACAAGCCACGGAGTGCGTGAGAATAACGCACATCATCAACCCGGCGGATTTTTACGTGCTGCGGGAAAGCGACCGGCAGGAGCTGGAAATACTGGAGGGCATGATCGCTGACTACACGGAGAACAAGTGCCCTGGCATTCCGGACGTGGTCAACCTGAGTGAGCGAGGATATCTTCTCTTTTCACCCGACAAATCGAGTCAACCAAAAAACTATAACGATTTTCTTTCACAGACCAAATCTACATCGTCAAGTATCTGGAGACGAACAAGTGGTACCGCGGCCGAGTGGTCAGGCTCAAGGAAGGCCACGAGGAGGCCACGGGCTACTTGTTGTACGACGTCTTTTACGTCGATTACGGCAGGACAGACGTCGGCGTGACGATCGACAGGATCAGGAATACCATGCCGAACTTCAACTACTTCAACGGCATGGCGTTGCACTGCAATCTTAGGGAGATGGGTCCAGTGGAGGATGAGTGGCACGACGACATCATCGACAAGTTCCGCCAGATGGTCGCTGAGTTGGTTTCTCCTTTTTTTTTTTTTTTTTTTAACGAATTTTCCTAGTGTCTTTCAGTCATAACAACGTGGAAATCGAATGGCAACTTGTTTGTATAACGAGATTATTGCCTTTTTTTCTGACTGAAAGAACAATATTGGTGCTCCAGTGGGATCCAAACCGAGTTTTGTTTTCAGAGAGACGTTCATAATGAAAATTTTGAAGAGCGATCAGCAGGTGCAGACGGTCGAGTTGTACAAGCAGAAGAACAATCCCAACAACATTTCGCTGCACGATTGGCTCGTCGACACGAAAAAAGCTCACGCCATCACCTCCTACAAGCTCAAGGTGAGTTCACGTCACAACTTTTTTTCTATTTCTTTTGTCAAATCCACGGTTTCCTTCCGTTTCAGAGAATGAATCCTCTGTCGACACGGCACTTTTACTACGAGGACCTGCCCCTGGAGAAAACGTCGTACGTCCACGTGTGCCACATAGAGTCTCCCCTCTGCATATACATTTACAAGGTTGGGCTTTAGTTTCTCCTCTCATCGTGTCGCAAAGTATTTCCAACTCGTCATTTTTTTTTTTTATTCTCGTCCGCAGGTGAAAAGTACCGACGTGGCGGAAAAATTGAATGTTTTCAACACCGAATTCGACCAATACGCCGTGTCGACCGACAGAACCATCAGAGAACCGGAGCTCGGTTGGTATACGTATAGCTTTCTTTATTATTGATAACTTTGATCCGACGTCACGCGTTGCTTTGATTTCAGGAAACGCCGTAGCCGTGCGCACCTCTTCGAACAGATACCAAAGAGGATTGGTGTCCAAAATAAACAGCCAAGAGAAAAAAGCCTTCGTGTTTCTGGTCGATTACGGGCAAACGGTCACTGCCAATTACCAAGCCATACATCACTTGCCCCAAAGATTCTGCATCTTCAATGCCCAGGTAAATATCCTTTGTCAATGGCTTATTGGGTGTTTGGATGTGTTGATATCATCTTGTGAATTGTTTTACGTTGTTGTTTCCAGGCCATCAAGGTTTCGATCCTCGACATCACTCCTGCGGACGGTGACAAGTGGTCGATAGATTGCATAAGTTACCTGAAGAAAAAATTGGAGGACAGGGCGTCGATCAAAGTCATACCGTACGAAAAAGTCGACGACACCTACAACGTGGTTATGTACGTCAAGGACACGAACATAGGCTCCAACCTCGTCGCTAAAAAGTTTGCCCTGAGCACCGGTGACCGGTGAGTTTTTACCGCGAGGCAAGTTCATGAGCGTTTCTTGACTCGCCGTTTAAACATGTTTCAGCTCGAAAAATCCGACCTTGAACAAGGTGGTGCCGTCGTCGAAAAAGCGCAAAAAGTCCAAGGCCCTGAAATTGGAAATGAATTTGCCGGCCCCGAACGGCACGTCGGTTCCGCGGCGACGCACGGCCGAGGATAGCGACCCGTTCAAGACGCGGGTCATGATCAGCAAGGTCATCTCGCCCGATTTGATTTACACGTCCCTGAGCTCGAACGTCGCCAAATTCGAGGAGATGAATCGGCGCATGCAACTGTTCTACGAGACCCACCACAGCGAGTGGGAGCGCGAGCTACACCTCAACTCAACCTATTGCTGCTACTCGGCCAAGGACAAGCAGTACTGCCGCGCCCAGTTTGTGGGCTACAACGAGAACGACCCCGCACTGGTGAAGATGCTCCTCATCGACATGGCTGAGATCGAGGACGACATACCCTTGGAGGCCGTGCAACCCCTTACCTCGGAATTCTTCCAACCTTCCCAGAACGTCTTCAAGATCAAGCTTGCTGGCATTAGACCCTGCGGTGGAACCAATGCCTGGACGTCGACTTCGTGCGAGAAGCTCAAAGATATCATCAGTGACACCGGTGACTCCAAGTATTACGTCACTCTGGTTGTACGTGCCATGGCTATTGTTGGGGGGTACTGGCGTTTTCGTGAAATTAATATCAACATATTTTTGCCTGGTTCAGGGATCATGTGACGAGGATAAGGTGTTTCCGGTCAGTTTGGCCATTAGGAGGAGCGTCTTGACGACCGGGCCGTTGGAGCCGGTAAGGAAAGAGACCATAATCGTAGCTCGCCGACTGATCGACGACGGTGTGGCATTACCGATCAAAGGGTAAGTCTCGGGTGATTTGGTGTTTGTCGTTTTGTTTGATTTTACAAACTGTTTTTGGCGCAGGTTCTTCGACAAGGACAAAAAGGAGCCGGCTGTCGAGTTGCAGAAAAAACTGAGGCTTCACAGCACAGAGAATCTGGATGATTCGTTGGAGAAGAAGAAAACAACGGCGGTGTCGGTTTCTACGCCATCGTCTGACGTTGAAGTGAATCAAGAAATTGTAGAAGATAAAATCAGGGAGAAAGATCCGAACAAAGTTACGGCTGAAGCTGCCAAAGATGATGATAATGATGATTTTAACGACTCGACTGCGATACCGAAATACGCTGACTGGTTACCGCCTGCTTATTTAAGAGACGACTCATTTAACGCCATAATTACTTACGTAGATAACGACTGCGACGTTTATTTTTATCCAGACACCAAAGAGTGTGCGTAAACCCATGTTACTTTAGTTGCTTCACATTTCGTTCATACCTTTGTGCTTTATGTTAATTAAAAAACGTTTTTTTTTTTTTTAGATAACGAGACAAGAGATCACATTGCTAACACTTTGAAAGAATACAGTAAGAAGGCAATCCAAAAACAAGACCTCACTTGGGAAGAAGGTGACTTGTGCATCGCTAAATTCCATGCCACCAACTGTTGGTGCCGCGGGAAAGTGACAGAAGTTGTAAATAATCAGACGGTCAAGGTAGTTTGTTTTTTCCACCGGCCATGATACATTTTATTTCACACCTAATATATCGTGTATATTTTAGGTACTGTTTGTTGACTGGGGCAATGTGGAAGATTGTAGCATTGGAACTCTGAAAAAACGAATCGTCTTGGAAGAAATTCCTATACAAGTCATGAGGGCGAGCATTGAAGGTTTAAGCTCGGTAAGTTTGTTGTACACTCCATGCTAGCTTTTTTTTGTACTTTTTCTAACTTTTATTTTTGGTTTTTTTTTTACAGAACGGTTACAGGTGGGAAACACATGATTTAGACGTGATTCACAGAACCCTAGTTGTCCAGCCCTGTCAAATAAGAGTCATCGAAAAACCACCCCAGCCTTGGAAGGTGAGAAATTATTCATTGCTTAAAAGAAACATTCAGAACCACCAAGGGTCTTTATAATAATTTCAGGTTGCCATCTGGGTAACCAAAGGTTCGTCCTTCGTTACCCTTCCGTGGTACATAAAAAACATGACGCAAGTCGATTGCGATACAGATGTCAGCAAGTACCACGAAATCGGAATAAACGTTCCCTCAGAGCCAACAAATTTAACGACAAAAGTCGACGATTCTTCCATTAAGGATAATAACACCAACGGCATTGTGATTTGTGTTGATAATAATGATGATGGATCTGGCCCATCAAGCCATGAATTGAGTAAATCGAGTGACGATGGAAACAACGAGTACGGAACGCCAGATTCAATGATGCACGAATGTGACGAGAGCGAGTCAACTACTTTGAGATATGAGGAGCAATTTGTAGATGTCACGGCGCAAATGGAGCTCATGCAGTTGTCGATCATCAATGAATCACAGGAGTAATTACTATTTTTTTTGAATATTATTAATTAATGCATCGTAATGACAATTTTAAAACTAAAATTCCGTTCAACAGAAGCGATAAGTCGAGCTCGACGCCAAGCTTGGAATCCGCGTGCTCGAACGACAGAAAAATGAAGGTCTTTTCGCCGTTTGGTGAGCAGAATCGTATGTCCCCGGAAAACAATGGGATGGAGTTTAAAAATTCATTTTTCGATGAAGAACCAATGATCTCCGGCAACTCGGTTCTGTACAACGCGAGCTCCAATGCCCTGGAATTCGACGTCATGAGCGTGAAAACCGAGGCCCTCAACCAATATGACGATGACCACGAGCTCATCTCGTCCACGCCATTGAATGCATCATTTACGAGCGTCATGAACGATGATTACTCTAGAAAAATGATAGATTTCCAAAGATTCAACGTCAAGTGCTTTGAAATAGGTCTTGGTCAGGCGTTTTCGGAAATTCACATGTCCGGCTATTTGCGTAACTCGAGTAATCGGGTAATGTCTTATTGTTAATTGAATCTTAAGTATTTATGCATTTGTGTTCACGCATTGACCTACAAATTTTTTTTTTTTTTTTGTCAGGATTTGAAACAGTGGATCGATCAGTGTTATCAGATTCATGAATGCATTCAGTCGTGTGTCGAAGAACAAGAGATTTTTGTACCACAGCCGGGTATGTAAACCAAAACTCGAATGTGCGTTTGGATGAATTAACTATTGTGTACTTGTACTATTCCAATAGGTGATTACTGCATTGCTCAGTACGATGATGGGATGTGGTATCGAGCGCGCGCTACGCAAAGGACGGTTACAAACGATGTATCTGGCACTGTGGTGGAATTCATGGATTATGGAAATCGAATGTCCATTTCGGATGACGAAAATTGGTTGGTTAACCGTTTTAGTAGATATTTCGCACTGTTTTAGAAGATTTATAACTCGATTTTTCAATGCTTCCAGTATTCGTACAATAAGGCAAGAGTGGTTAGATGTTCCTTGGATGGGTTTCAGCTTCAAACTTTTCAATGTAAAAGTTGCACCCGGGCGTGACAAAGAGGCTAGAGAAAGTATTAATGAAGTTTTAGGACAATCTGACAGATATTGGGTACATATAAAGGTATTTGTCACATACATAATTCGATAATGTAATATATGATCGTTGAATGATAAATATATTTCGTTTGCAGAGATATGACCCTGAAATTGAACTGGAGTTATTTTCGAGCAAGAAAAATAAACGCTTAGTATACGCTTCCTTGATCGAAGGAAATATATTTGAAAAAATCGATCCAAAGCTATGATTAAAAAATAACGTTCAATCAAATCATTGATTATTTTGTGTTTCTTTTAATTTCAAGTATAATTTTAAGTTCTCATTACTTTTCCAGTGTTTAATATTGACATTTATTTTTAATGCAAATCGCATCATACTTTTATTTTCAATAAGCGACTGAGCATAAGCATTATTGTGATAAATATTTGTACTGGAGAAAGCAAAAAAACAATCACCGATTCTAAACCTTATGTATATTACATTAAAACGTACTTTTTTTTTTTTATTACCGAAACACCTTATTTTTCCAACTCGATTTCCTGCTCATGCGAATTAATCCACTATTCTCTTTCATTTAGAAAAGTAATTACTCTTGTACTCGATCAATTTGACGCATTTTTCTGAACTGTCACTCATACTTTGCGTTAGCCAACCGAAAATTAATTTCGCAAATGTGTCGCAAATTTCATTACTGCGGAAAGGGTAATCGATAGCATCGATCAGACTACAAACTCGAGAAGTGAAACCAACATACTTTACGCGCGCGACTCTCATTTTACAACTCAAGATACTATCTTAGGGGTTGCAAATGATAATAATTATCATCTACCAGGTTTTGTGCCGACAAACAAGTGCAAAGTTCGGTATAATCCCCGGCACGTATTTGATTTCATGGATAAGAAAAATCACCGCGGTACGTTCCCGGAAATATTAACGGAAGCATTTTTCAGGAGGTCGTTAAATGTGTTTTTGTGGAAAAAAAGGAGATGCTTGCACGATAGAAAAAGCCCGTAACTCTTATCGCGCAGAATCATCGAATTTCAGTGAGCTTCGATCGATACGCCGACGGACGCATGGAAGTTACTTGCGTCTTGTACAGTTAGTTTTTCGTCAACTCGTGAAAGTGTGAAACTACACATTTTTCCTACATTTAACATTATGTCTTACCAAAGAACGGCATGGGTGGAAGGTAATTTCATCAACGTGGCTGTGTTATTTTAAAAAATTCGCCCTTTTTTAACTCATCGTTAAGTGTTTCGATGGCAATATAATTAAATATGCTTAATCTTTGTAAAAGCGGCTAATTTTATCGCTCAAATTGAATTTTTATTCTGCGATGTTAAAAGTCACGCCTTTAAATTGCAGAAAGAAAAAGTATGGCGAAACGGCACGAAATTTGGTGCAACAATGTCATCGAGCATCGCACCGAGATCAAAATTTTTTTACTCATTCTTGTTTTTATAGCTGCCACCGTTGCCATAATGAAAATTGGCTTGTACAGTAAGTTTTAATCGTATAATGTGAAGATAACATGCTTGAATTTTAATATTTCGGGTTGTAATTTCGTATGGGAATCTTTGTAGGTTTCATTGTAGAGGCAACGGAAAAAATGTACTCTAAATAACATCATGGGTGGAACAATAATTTGTGAGTGCAAGTGTGCAGTTTTTGATTTTTATTCTTTATTAAAAATTTTACTGATTTTAAAACGTTTTGACGCTCGTTACATTAATTCCCGGTAAAAGTCAATTAATTGATTTTTTGGTTTTCATTAACGTCAACTTTTATAATTTTCTGTAACAAATTATTAAATTTTATTCAAAAAGTACAAAATAGCAACTTGATGCTATAATTTTTCCAATTTTTAGCTTCAACCTATGATACACATAATATACCATCTTCTTAATTGTTCATACCAATCTAGTATTGATACAAAATTTTATTTTTTTATAATAAAATTTGAATCAGCTGTCAAAAAAGAGAGATTTGATAATAGATGCTAGATAATAGCATTTGCGCTTTATTACTCGTTATCCTTAGATTCCAAAGTACCAAAAAGTATTGGCGCAACAGGTTTTATTTACCAAATCATGTAAATTAATTTTCTTCGCGATCAATGAATATGTCACGTATCATAGATTTGGGCACAATTACTTTATTGATTTTTTTTAAACACTTCAAACGAAATTTTTTTTTTTTTTTTTTTTTCTTTCCTTATTAAAATACATTTTATTAGCTCAAAAAATATATTTCATTCATCACTATTCACAATACGATATTTAGATACATTTTTTTCTAGCAGATAAGCGCAATACGTTTTATTATATTAAATTTTGTTATAAAATATTTAAAGGCAATTTTTTTTTTTCAGCATAATTAAAGTATTACACTTTCAGCGAAAAATTGAAAAAGTATATATCCTTGCCCGTTAAACCGCAGCTTGTACCATAGGGACGTATCGTCAAAAATTCAATCAACGCAAGTTTTGTACCACAGACAGATGCACCCTCCGTAAGGACGGAAGCGTCCAATTTTCCCTGAAAAGATACTCAATTAAAACTCATGTATTGGGGGCCCAGCAAAGTCACGGAGACGTTGCGCGAATTTTTGTCCATCTCCACCGCTGCGTCCATGCAACACTTGAGCGCCTCGATCTCGTCGTCGAGGAAATAAACACACGCGCCGATCGTCGTGACGTAAGTATTGACGAGCCCCGCGTGTTCCAACATCACTTGGTGAGCCGATACCGTCAGCTGTTGACTGTCCATACCGTCCAATGCTCTCTATAAAACGCAATAGTGGATTTATACAAGGTTTTTTTTGTTGGAAATTTTTTTTTTACAGTCTCTGTTTACCCATACCCCAAGGGCCACGAGCATACTCGACGTGCCGTACAGTCTGTCGATCATGAATCGCACCCTCAAATCGGCCCTCCAATCGGCCGTGGCGCACTTTTTGCAACAAACAACAATATTTTTTTCTTTATCCACTCATCGTGCAATTCACGAACTTTTTTTTTCCAAATCAGTTAAGGATACGTACACAGATGACTGCGACGATCATCAATGGTCCAAGTTTCATAATTGCACCCTTTATCTAACGGTGAAAAAAAACTGTATTTGATATAACAGAGAATATAATAGTTACAAGCTCGGCCGCGACTGAAGCTTATCTGCGGTGGTTTTGTATGTACATGCACAGTCTTTCTCGACGTTGTTTGTTTTATTTTGGAGCTACTTACTGTGTGTTATCTCATGGCCGATGGGGTTCATCTCGGAGTTACAGATGACGTAGAATTGGTTCATTAAGAAGATTTTTTTTTACAAATCGGTAGAAACATTTGTACGCGAATTATTTTTATTTTTTTCAGGTTCGACGTGTGCGTTTATGCGGTTATTCCATTATAAATTTATGTATTTTTGATACTCATGCGTTACCAAACGAAGAAGTTGATAAATATAGATTTAATTCCAGCTTATTGGGGATCTCGCCTTGTGACTAAAATGTTCATGATTAGGTACAATAAAATAAATGTAATGTACACAAAATTACAATAAAATTTTTTTACACTTTATTCATCGTTTTAGTATGTAGTTTAATGTACAATACCTTCGAGAAGTATTAAAAATTTTCATTGAATCGCCTGAGCTTTGCGTGTCTGAATATCAAAAATCAGGCGACGTGTAAAAAAAAATTTTAGGTTTTGAGAAATTCACCCTATAAATTGTATTGTATGTTACAGAAATTTCGGTTTATTTGTACACACAAGTTTAATGTTGAGAATAACTCGTTAAAGTGTAAATAATTGATAATTAAATCGTTACTTTATTACAAAATATTTGTTAAAAATAAACAAAATCCGTCCATGGGCTCGCAAACACGAACAATGGATAAGTCATCCACAATTTTTTTTTTTTTTTTTTTTTTTGGTATCGGTGGAGAGAGAAATCTCATATGGCGTCCTTCTCCCGCACGCTCGCGAGAGTATGTATGTATAGCAAAGAAAGAAAGGGGGAAAAAAAAAAGGAGAGTCCGACAGCACGCGACTTACGATTCGGACGATGAGTTACGACCTATGGGCCTGCCGTGCCACGTACATATACGTGTACCCACNAAAAATAAAGGAGAAAGTTCGTGAGTATTAACTTCGTTTACACATTAAGATTTCAAAGGCACAGTTATTAGTGTTAATGGAGAAAATTTGTTAATGTGGCAATACTAATAAATCATCGATTATCTTACTCGATACTTTTAAAATAGATGTCAATGACTTCATTAAATCAGATTACATAATTTAATAGGTTAATTTGTGCGTAAAGTAAAGTCTTATGTTACAACCCTCAAACAAAAAAAGGTAAAAAAAACATTTGAGAGAAAGCAAATTAAAAAAAAATATATCACACGTTTCGGTAGTAATTCAGCGTAAAATAGACACAATAAGTAGAATAATACTCTCTACTTTTAAATGGGCAATAAATCGATGTATACATAATTTGAGTTCAATAATACATTTCTAGTTCGACTGAAAGGTTAATAAACCAAAACTGTTGTCAATTATTATACAGAAAATTATTGTAAAGTCGATACAAATTTGTATACATCATTAAAAAATCGATCCATGCAGTGCACAGACGTTTTCACTGAAAAACCATGTTTAAGCCCTCAGTTTTATAAACTTACCAAAATAAATAATAATCGTTTTCAAATGGCTACTATGCCCATTTGACAGTCAATTGACGATATTTGGCATTAAATTGAAGAACACTGGAGACGTAAATTCACTCGAAGTTTATTACTCCTTTATTTACTCCAAGAGCTCCTTCAAAACGGCGAATTCATGCCGAGTTTCGTAGTAAACTGAAGTCGCGCTTTTTTCTGATACCTAACGTTGACTCTGAAATTTGTTCGTCAATTCATGATTAATGAAGCCCAAAATTAAATTTCACGCACAATGACTTACTTTATCTCTTGCCATTTGATGTATTCGTTGACGAAAAATACCAAAGGGAGAGATACGACGAAGTAGTACGGCAAATTCAAGGGATACTTTTGGTTTTTTTGGTTCTCGTTCTTCCAATAGTTGGCAAGCGCGCTTCCCGAAAAAACAGCTTGTAGGCATATCCTGTTTAAAAAAAAATCATGAGCGCACACACTCGACTCTAGACCGGAGAGTGTAAAAAATACCAACACAATCAAAGACGTCAAGACCCAGGTCCAATTTTGAAATGGCACCTTTTGCCAGGCAAAGTAATCGCGGTGCACAAAACTTGCCGACACCGTAACTACAAAAAAGAAGGAAGAAAAAAAAAATTAGTTTTAACGGCACACACAAAGAGTGATTGGATGTACCGAAGTGCAAGACGAGAATGACAAGGCCGATGTGCTGCACGGTATCGAGAACGTCAGGCCTGAGGCCCCAGCCACCCCACGTTTGGTTACTAGTGACATTTGGATACACGTAATAACACTCGAGCCCTGGTGTCTGGACGTAGGTGGAGCACAGGGACCGCAGCGACAGACCCTGCCAGAGCAGCAACGTTAGAACTGTCGTTAGGAACTTGCCACCGTAGTACCACAGCACGAACGAGGCCATCTGTTATTTTGGATCATTAAAACATTGACAAACCGCAAGAATCAACATATATGACGACAAGAGGCATTTAGCGCACACACTTCCGACCTGTTTGTCCAGAGCGCACTGGTTCTTTCCTGTGGCCCGGCTCATGATACTCGGGTCAGTCGGACAGCCAACCAGCGAAGCCGAGAGCAATGGCAGGACGAGAACGCACAGCCAGAGAACTTGGCTGGGACTGAAGACTGGTGGTAGTAATAGAAACGCCGCTAAAGCCTGAACCAGTGCTATCGTCACTGCGCAGCACAGCCAGAACTGCAGGCAGTTCAGTAGGCACTTCATGTAGTGGCGAGCCTAAGAAGACAAAAAAAAAAAAACACCACATAGATGCATTTTTTTTCTTTTTTTTTTTCGCAACAAAATATGTGTGTGTTCTTATAGGGGAGCACCTCCATGATGAGATGGTAGACGGCAATGGGGTCCTCGCGCTTGACGCTCAGCGAGCAAGCGACCGAGTTGAGGCTGCGGCTCAAATCGATGGGCGACGGGCCCTCATCTGGTTTCGTTGACGTCAATACAGGCACTCTTTGGCACACTTGTGGGTAAAGCGGCTCCACTGCGACTCTGTAACATGCATTGTTTTTTGTTTCGAGCGTGGGAAAAAAAAAAAAAAAAAAACATTTGAATCCCCGACAAAGTCGATGTTTTCTTGTTTCCTGACACATTTTTCGTTAACGCATCATCGGTTGCACAGATAAACATCAAAAGGTTAAAATGTCTAATCGAGCGTCCGAAGAAGAAGAAGCGTCGAGGAGCGTGAAAACCCCCGCCAAAGTGCAGTCGGCGAAACCAATGAGGGACGAAAATTCAACCTGCACTAGCAGCGCGCTCCGAAAAACCCGGCCGCGCAGCATCTTGATTCGCCCGCGGGTGATGAAACAGGACTTTGAGAGTGTGTACACGGCCTCGTACTGTGAACAAAAACCTCAGAGCAACGCGTACTCGAGGAAGAGCTTGGCCAACAGAATCAGACGCGGGAACTTCGAAGCTACGCACAACCAATGAGATATTGTGTAACTTTCTTTTACAGTTGCAATAAATTTATCTTGCATTTTCATTTACTCCGTGCCTTAACGATGTGCTGGGAAAACCCCCCACGAATTGTCTTAAGAAGTTTCTAGCGTCAATTTAAGGTCTACTGTACTCTTTTTCAAACCAAGTGCCGATACTTTCCAACCGAGTCTCAAAAGAATACGATAAAAAGTATTTGTCTACGAATGAATACAATATCTCTGAAACGCCACTGGAAACTCCTTGAAAAACCCAATTCTAAGCGATTACTCGCGTCCATCCTTACGCAGCGTCTGCCTGCATGAAAATCGGCATGTTCTCGGCATTTGCCGAGGATCCAAGGACGCAGACGACCTCGCCGTAGTCCTGCATGATGTGTAGCATCTCACGGGTGATGGATGTGTTGCAGTCCGTGAACAGGGAGACGAGCAGGGGGACGTTGTCGATGTTGTCTATGTGGGATCTTATCTTGTCGATGCCTCGCGGTAATTTCGCCTGTGCGGATTGAATTTTGGATGAATTTTTTCGATAATCCGTTGCACCGGGTACACACGTGTACGACGGGTATATACAATACCAACCCTATTGGACATGTCAAAGTTGACCGGCGCGCTCTGCTCGGTGCTGTCGGTCATACAGCTCAGGGACCGCCACGCCTCCTGGCCCGAACCCAAATCGACGCTCTGCATCAGCACGCTGTCGTCGCTCCGCACCATTTCGTGCTCCCTGTAATAAAAGCGCGTAATCAAGCTGGGAAAGGACATAATGAGAATAGTATACAAGACACCACCAACCTGTGGTCCATGGTGCTGTTGACCTGGTGCTTAGCCTCTGGGCACTCGTTGGTCGCCACCTCGTTTTCGAACTTGACGGTCGACAAGTCGGTGTTTATGGCGCTGGGAGCCGACAGGCTCATCGTCTTGCTGTTGTCCAGGTTCGAGCTGCTCAAACAGAACACGCGTTAACTCTGGCTCCGTTGGCTTTCAAAAGTTGTCGCTCCGTAAATCGATTTGCTCTTTTTTTTTTTTTTTTTTTTTTGTATTGAAAGGAATAGAACAACCTTTTTTTTTTTGTTTTTTGTTTTCACGCCTGTGCAGTAGAACAATCCTTGGTATTTTTCTCCATATTCATGCACCGACCAAACAATTGTGAATTTAATCGTCCCCCACGTGAGTGGGAAATCGTTAGTAGAAATACCGAAGTTAAGAAAAAACATTCGTAGCACATGTCATACGTATACATGTTTACATATGGTTATTGCATAAATATACACATTTAGAAGAGACAATCCGTGTTGTTCGTGTGCTGTTAATTAAAGTGTGTACATTTACAAAATTTTACAAAAGGAGGAATTTTTTTTGTCAAATAAAATTGCTACATTCAACAGACCTAGTTGAAATACGGCTGTATTATCACGGACTGTGATGACACAATTTAATTTACAGTGCAAGTGAAACAAGGTAAAAAGAACACCATAATATTAATGTACAATTATGTCTGTACATACATGTATGTATGCATTTTATACGCGTTAAATTCATGCAGTAAAAGTATCACACATTGTGTAAAATATCGTTCTGTTGATGGAGCGATTGTTAGTAAGTGAATGTCGATGAGGGGAAAAAAAAAAATACAATTTACCTCCTGCATCAATAATCGACGAAACTGAATGGGGGAAAAAAAAATCTTTTTTTTTTTGTTTTCAATGAGGAAGAAAAAAAAAGCTACAAAAATAAAATAATAGAAAAAAAAAAAAAAAAAGGAAAAGTATGCGTATCTTGAGACATACCGAGGGTAGGCGCGGTTAATCAATCGGCTGCCTTCGTCGGTGCAGGTTTGATAATGACGTCGCTGAAGCGAACGCGTCGAGATCGTTGGCGAGGACGTGGCCGCCGTTTGACTTACCCAACAGCCGACTGGACTCTCGCATCTGTCAGTACAATGCAATCCGTTTCTTTTTTCTCTCTTAGCCCTACATACGTTTAGGTGTACAAGTATATAGTTTTCGACCGTGCGCTTTTTTTTTTCACTTTTCAATGGGCAGACATAGACAAAACGTTCAATGAAGGTTTGACGTATACACAGGTAAGTATGTACGGATCGGTTTTATCTTACTTCTTTCAAGTTGGCTTGAAAAATCACGGGAAACGAGATTGAAGGTACATTTTGCGCTTGATTGAGAAGTACACGGGTTAGGCATGACATGATTATCTGTTAGTTTGTTGACAAAAACACATACAATATCAAAAAAAAGCCACACAAACCACGTTAATCAACCGTACAAGGCAAGGCACTAAATTATTGTTAGTACCAACAAAAAAAATGTGGAAAAGCCAAAGAAAGCAAAGATCATTGAATAAAGAAGAGACGAATATGTAAATATAGACAGACATATACGATAAAGGCCAGTGCGGAAATCGCTCGAGCCACTGTTGTATCCTGCAACGTACAACACACATGCACACGTTTTTTTAAAAATATTAATTCAAAGTATACGTGTTTATTAACGACGTGAGTTAGTTACGAAAAAAAAAAAAAAAATGTTTTACATAAATTTAAAAAAAAAACTTGCTATCGACTCTGACCACAAAGTTATTGCCGAGTCGACGACCCATCAGCCATATAACAGAGTAGAATTATAGACGATCCAAGATGCTTTTGCACATTTATGTATTACAGAGGCAAAAAGCAGCGCGTATCTTATTATTATTATAAAAAGGAACATTTGAAAATCGGCTTGGTGTACCTTGCGCGCTCGCTTAGCAGCGAGATGTGGCAGTTCCAGCCGCTCTCGAGGCCCATTTTCTCGGAGAAGACTCGCGAGCGCAGCTCGTTCTCTTTGCTAAAGTGCACAAACCTGATGCAAGCCTGCTCGAGCTGCTCGATGAGCTGAACCTGTATTTATCAAACAACAATTTTTGACCCAATAAAAACACCATATCTGTGCGAAAAATTACCATGTCAACTTGTGCCTGGTACTGCATCGTCACCATACCGATGAACACCTGATTGCACTGCATCTCGAAGCAACTTTCGATGCTGCTGATCTCCTCGTCTTTGGCTTCGCAGAGCAGCGAATCTATAATAAAAAGCACAAGTTCTCGTACCATCCTTAAATTATCCAGTTTCATCGCACCTGTCGAGTGGAACTGTCCGATGAGTCCCCTGATGCGTGGATCCAGTACATTTTTAAAGTCAAAGGGCAGAGGAGTCGGGCTGCGATACGGCACGTAGAGATGCTTGCTCTCCGAGGGCAATTCCATGTAAACGCTCGACAACTTGTTGCTGACGTTACGCGTGAGTGGCCGATACGCGTAGGCTGTGCAGTACGACGTGAGGCTCATGCGGTTGTAAAAGTCCATGACTTTTTTCCTGAAATCCAAGGTACATCATATACAGTGGTCGCAACGAGGGGAGGGTTGTCGTGAGCGAGTTTTATTACTTGTCCGCTTCGGCCAAAGGACTGAGATCCTGGCCACTCCAAAACTCGACGCACGAGTCGAGGATGAGGTCGGCCGTGCCTTGGGTCAGCAGCTGAAGAGTACCGCCGTTTTTGTCCTTCACGATTACTGCTACCATGTGCGGAAACGGGAACTTGAGCTTGAGCGAGCGCGCGAATTTCATGTCGCGCTTTGCCGTCTCTGGAGGCTAAAAAATAGCTGTTGTGATGACTGGTTTCAAAAAGTTGGAGAAAAAAAAACTTACCACGTGCCTGTACGTCGACAACTGCTGCTCCAAGTAGAAGACGTCCTTTGCCTGTTCCTTGAAACCGATTTGAATGGCCAACTCGCACAAACACCTGTTCCAACAGCCGATGAGTTAATGGTGCGGGTTTTTACAGTCATCGTGCAAAGTTAAGCAAAAACACATGACAGAAAAAAAAAGCACCGCAAGCAAAAAAATCCTGTTCAGCAAGGAGAATGAAAAACAAAAACAAAAAAACTAGGAGTGTTACAGGAAAAGTTAGTTTTTACCCGTGATCAGATCAACTTGGTTTCGGTTTGCATATGGTCTTGAGAGTGTGAAAGAGAGAGAGATACAGTGTTTGAATTAGAGACTCTTGCGTTAAGTATATGACAATGAGCGACTGACCGAGTCTCTCCGAGACACCCCATCTCGTCGTTTAAATACACCATCTTCGAGCCTAGCGCGAGAGTATCGTTCACTTCATACCCACTTTTATCATTGGCCTCTTTGGACGACTCTAGCCGGTGGTTGGTCGATGCTCCACGTTCGCTGTTGTGTTTGGTCAGGGTGTGAGTGTGTGAATATGGTACGAAAATAAAATAAAATAAAATAAAAGACGTGCGGCTATATTGAAACTTTATATTAATTTAGCGTTAAAACTGTGCCAGCAATAGTAAAAAAACACAGTGAAAATTTGAAATGAAAAAAAAAAAACCAATGACGAAAAATTAAAATTACATGAACAAGCTTATGCCAACACAAACACAATTGACGCTAGGAAAAATATTTATTGCTTCGTGAACAGAGATGTTTTCATTCAGCCAACAAGTACGCACAGTATGAGTGTGTATTAAATGTTACAGTAATGAGTATATGCTTGAATTTTCAAACCATCTCTGTTCAAAAAATTAACACCCTGAAATTCTAGGGCTTACCTTCTATTAGTGACAGGTACCAGATTCTCGTTGTGCAGCGACTCGCAGGTAACATGACAGCAAAACTGCATGTAGTGCTCCTGAGTTTCCATGTTACACGTGTTCAGTAGGATAGCCAAACCAAGTGGTTTCAGCGAGTTAAGGTGCTGGTGCCAGGAATGATCGTCAAACTGCAGCTTAAATGGTAGTGACCGGTCGTGCGTCAAATCCAACACTTCCGCGACAGCGTGCGATTCTGAAATAAACAACGCGGGATTGATATAAGAGCACACCTTTCTTTTCTTTTTTTATTTTTACGATTAACATTGCAACAATGGAACTTTACCCAAAGGCACGTATGACGTTCTGTTGGAGTCTGGTTTCGTGCATTTTCCAGCATTAGACTCTGACAGCTTGTTTTCACTGACTGTACTGTAACAGTTGGATTCTCAGCAACTCACGTAAAAAAAAAAAAATAAAAAATAAAAAAATATTCAACTTTAATTAAAATATTTACCTCGACGCTTTAGAAATTGGATTGGCGTTCGCGTGGTGTAAGAAAAAAACTTTCTCCGCCGTTGGATTAGGCCAAGACAAAATACCTTTTTTATCGACGCAACACAAAGCCTGAAAAAAAAAAATAAACAAAAAAAAAAAGACGCTTAATTATGATTTCGATTAATTTGTTAAAATTTACCGTCACTGAGCCGAGGACGTGCAAGATGTTTGCAGATCTCGTCATCATTTTCTCTTTGCCAAACAGCATATCCAAAAAGTACTCTGATAATTCAGTCCAATTGTAAACTACGTCCGGATGATTGGAATCCGAACTTTCGTCAAAAGGATCCAAAAACTAAATAAAAAGACAACGTTGCAGACTCCATTTTTATCTCCAAAAAAGTTCAAACACCCTGTGATACGCACCTGATTCTTTTTAGACGACTGGTAAAGGTTAAAAAGCGCCTTGAACCTCGCCATACCGAAACAATTAAGAGCAAGCCACCAGAACGGAAAGGCCAGCGGCAAGAGCGGCAGAGTAACCGCGATCGGTTGTAAGAGAAACATTTCAGTCCAGTGTCCAACTCCAACGAGATCTCCAAGGTACAAAAACTTGAGCAAGTTGACGAGTAGCAGCAGCGCAAGGAGAATCGGATAGGCGAATTGCTCGACGCAGCAGATCATAGCCAGGTGACGTTCACGATTTAGAACGGTGACGGGCCGGTCGAGCGCCTCATCGAGTGCCAGCTGCAGGTTCGACAGGTACGGCGTCTCTTGGAGTTTGTACATTTGGCTGTGCATAGGTACACGAGCTTGCGGCCCTGAGAACAGGCTACCGCTCGCTCTACCGCTGCTACACTCACCCGGACAATAAACTTCTCGGGGATGAAGCTTTGGTTCGTTATCCTAAGTAACAAGAATTTTTAGGATGGATGAAAAAAAAGTTTGCTTTCTCGGGATAAATCGACTTACGTTGTAGGGGACGCAATGACCAGGAGCTTGTTGGCCTGGTTTTATCACGATAACATCGCCAGCGACTAGCAAGGCCCATGGTAGGTTGACTATCTCGCCGTCGCGATATGTCCATTGAAGGGTGATGCATGGCGATAGTGGACTGTACAGATTTGGGTAGTTTTCTGGTTTCCATTTGCATATTAATTTGGCAGCTGGGAAAACACAAAATATGACAGTGAGAGAAAAATCTTGTATTAATTAAATGTTATTACTTAAATGTGGGCGAGTAGTCACCTTCGAGCTGTTTGACAATATTTTTGACTCTGTGAAGGATTTCTAGATGCCGAAACTTGTTGTCAGAGATAACCAGAGATAAGTTCATCAAGACCAAGGCTATGATGATAATTCCTTCGTAAGGCCAGTAAGAATACCTAAAAGAGAATTCAAGATTTTTTTTTTCCTTTCTTTCAATGCATCTATGATTGAAACTTACTCGTGATTGTTTCCAAACCAATAAGAAATAATCAGCAGAACTGCACTGATCAACAGAGCAGTAGCTGAAATCCAGCAAAACGTCGTGTACTGACTTTTATGGTACAGAGCATCTTTCAGCCAGCCTTTATATTTTCTGAAATACATGATCAATGAATAAAAAATAAACAGACGAATTTGTTGTTTGGCATACTTAGTTAGCCTGCAGTCTTCCTCGTACTCTTTTATCTTATTTTTTATATCCCTCTGTAGTAGCTCCAGCGCCTCTGCAGTTGTTAGACCTGTAATATTGGTCTTTTCATCGCTGTCACAATCTTTACCTTGTGTTCCATCATCACCCTGATCGAGCTTTTCCATGGCTAAAACAAATATTTGTATCATTTAATCAACAGGTTACATAATTTTAAAAATAAATGTTCATACCTGAATTTATTATCCGATGAATGTCTCATCCATGAAAATGCGAGTATTTTTTATAAATCCAAGTTGACAGTCATCTGGGGAAATAAATACATCGTGTTGCCTGTAAATCAAAATCATTATTTATTACGTTCACAGCTACCTATTAAACTCGGTTAATCATCTAAAACAAAAATTAAATTCGTAAAAAAAGCCAAAAAATATTTGTGAATCAGCTTGATTATTTCAACTTTCATTTTTTGTTTTTTCGTTTCTTGATGATATACTTAAATAAGTGGTGTAAAAAACTCAAATTGAAACCTTGAAAGGTGCAGCATACAACAACGGAAAGCCAAACAAGACATTTGCCCTTTCACTGCAGCAGAAAACGGAGAGGCTGGAAGAGTGTGTAAGAGATGCCTTGAAAAAAAAAATTTTTTTCCACGAAAACAAAACTCCTAAAATGCAAGTAAGTAGGTATACATACACACTTACATATACAATTTTAATCTTCAGCTATGTGTCTCTGCCGTAATTTTATAAACATACTCATTCAAGCTCGTAACAACAAAGTACTCTTGAACTTGACAACAACAATCGAAGAAAGTGGGGTTAGGCTATTGTTTCCCTTTCCTTTCTATTGTCATCGTCGTTTTGTTGTCGTGCTTTTTTTTTTTTTTAATTAGACAACGATTGGAAGGGATAAGATAATACACTTATATAGCAAAAAATTAGGGGAGCACGAAAATTACATAACAACATTCAGAGGCGCACTTTGAAAGTTTGGTTCAAATCAATGGTTACGTTTGTGTTTCTCTGCCTTTTCTTCTCGTATTATTAAACATTTTTCTACTTTGTAATGCTTAATGAAACATTTACGTTTTGAAACTATATAAATGCACACTTTTTATCTATAAAATTTTTATTTTTAATGAAAGCTCTTAAAACCCTTTTTTTTGTGTTGTGTGTTTAGTGGGGGCGTCTGCTAGGACAGCTTTTTTGATGACGCGGGTAATTTGATTATGAAATTTCGCTTAAATTTACAAAAGGTTACGAGAGAGTAGTTTTGATAACTGAGTTGTTTGTGGGATTGGTAAATATTTTTGTTAGTTAAATTTTCGTCAAGAAGGGCATTTTCATGTTATTTTTTTTTCTAATGAGATTCAAATAACGATATAAACTTTATTTAAAAAACTTTTTTTGAAATATAAGAAAGTCAGCTTAGAAGCCTTAGATTTTTCTCAGCTCGCAACTATTGACAGATAAATCGATGAGTACAAAATGGTAAAGCGTGTATTATATACCATTATTTCTTTTTGAAGTAAATTGTACTTTTATTTTAATTTCAATTTAGGTTTTAAAGGAGAATTTTTAGTTTTGATGTATTCATTGTAAATTTTTTTTTTAATTTGTACGATTCAATTTTAATGTCATTTGCAACATTATTTAAATTTACTGTAATTTGTTATTCATGCAGGGTAAATCATGTAAAATAGTTTTTCAATGCTTTCATACAGATGCTGATATGAAATCCATACGATCAATATCACTCGGAAATGAATAAGTTTTAATACGTTTTCATAAAAAATTTATTAATCTTAGCAAAAAAATCAATATTCGATTAGCCTAGAATCATCAGTCAAAATTTCACGATAATGATTGCTATTTGCTGACACCTCGTGGTTAGCTCCGACTATGCAGTCCTTCAATTGACTACCTTCGTTAATAACACAATTATTACAGATAATGCAATTCTCTATGACACACCTGAAAGGGAAATTCATTATCGTTTAATTTCAAATGTTTCAATTACATAAAATTTTAAGAAAGCAGACTTTCAACTACTTCTTACATTTGTTTTATTGTGACGTTGCTCATGATGACACTCTTTGTTATTCTCGTTTTGGGTTCTACAGTTACATTGCAGCCTATGCAGCTCGATTTCAAAGAAGTTTTTTCACTAACCATTGCGTTATCATCGATTCTGCAATTTTGTACTTGTGTGCTTTTAACTGTAGCACCTGGTGAGATACTAGAACAAGGCAATTCACCTTCTTTCCTCAATTCAAACCAGTCGTGTATCTATATTTAAAAATTTTGTCATTTGAATCCTTTGAACCAGTACGGCACGTGTGCCCAAAATCGTTACACTTACCAGAGCATTGGCCAAGTAATACATTTGTAGAGTGTTTGCTCTCAAGCCATATTTTCCACTTACAATTTGAGCATAGCACTTGATTACATCTCCGTTGTAAGCACCATTCAAGTTCGTTTCGTGATCGTTGTAAGCTGACATGCGCATAATCGATTCATTGAAAGGCTTTTCCACTGCAAATCTAAATATGTCTTTTCTCGTGTCCAATTTCACAACAGATGCGTTTTTGTCATCTTTTACAATTTTTGGCTTCTCCAATTGTTTTTTCACAATGTAAGGAAGCAACTCACCCTTTAGAGTACTAAAGTTTCTGGAAAGAAGCATAGTTATAATTTGTCAAACAGGTTTGCACAAAAAAAAAATTACTTATACAGTACATACTTGTTATGCACCAAAAAGTCAAGCACCCACTTGTTGATTACATACAAGTGTGCATCCAGCAATTTTGAAAACACGGTAAAGTTGGAATGTTTTTTCAACAGCCTAGCAGGCATCGTCACGTTATCCTCAAAGTCGGAAGCAGAAGCCAGAAAAACAATACGACCCGTTTCATTGTCAATGCCAATCAGATCTCTTTCTGGCTTCTGTTTATTTTTAGGTCCCGGCTGCACAAAGTCCTCCGGTGCTTTTGGAGTCTGTACTATCAGCGCGGTAATACTAGCGTTGTGCTTGCGATAAAGATTCAGGGTTTCCGAAATATCAATGTTGGCAATAAAGTCTGTCGACACAACCACAAGGTCCGATTTGATCCTGTCATGGATGACTCTAAGGGAGTCAGCTGTGCCGATGTCTTCTGCGTCCAGGACCCCAACTACTTCTGGCTTGATATTCAGGTTGCACTTGTCCAGGGCTGCTGTGACATCTGTCTTTACTGCTTCCGAGACAACGACGATGGCTTCTGCGAAGCCAGACTGCTCCAAAAGTTTCAATGGGTACCAGACCATTGGCATATTTGCTATTGGAAGTAAACATTTTGGTGTACCCACAGTCAATTCTGTCATCCGAGAGCCCTTACCACCAGCAAGCACTACTGCTTGGAACTCATTTTTATGGACCATTTCTGATCCAAACCCTCTCTCTTTTCCAAGTAATCAACAGTCAACAACTGATGATGCAATTAAATTCTCAACTTGTGCACTATATAATCTTACAAAAGTAAGAATTGATACACTTATTAATTGTTATCCTGGTCGGCTCCGAACTTTACACCATACTACTTAGTGCTGGGTCATAGTGCTCTAATTTCTTATGTAAACGTTATTATTGAAAAAATAAATACTTGTAACTCTTGTAAGTACTTCAGCACAACTCAAATTTTGACATAATATTTATGTTTACATGTGTTGACTCTTCGAGAGTCGAGTTTCATCGTTTCATGTTTATCGTACAGTATCGAAAAATGAATCGACTCTCGAAAACATGGAGGTGGGGGGATTGGATTGAGAAAAGTTAATAAGTTGTCAATAGAGCGTGCGGGCCGCGGAGAAGCCGCAGAATTGTTAGACGCTTTATCCAAACAGTATTTAGTATAGGATGTGATAGTGATTGAAAAAAAAAAACAATATGTGTCCTCTTATACTCTGCAGATTTATATGAACATATGACATTCGGCAATAAAAATCGGTGCTTAAATTGCCTGCAAGGAATTGATACATTTATTCCAACAAAAGGTGACGCTTTTCTTCTACATCTTTCCTTTGGAACAAAATTATCTATTACTTGAACTTTGGTATGGTTTCGTGTTTCTGCTTGTAATTTGATTTATACTTACATCGGAATTTTCTCTCAGTGTAGTGTTTCGTTTTCAGGTTTTTTTCGTACGAACAGTCAAAACAACATTCAGCCATGGAAGTCCTAGATTCCATGAGTTTGAAAATCGCCTTTTCCAATGGCACGCTGTTTGATCCAGTTTTTAGCGATCTCAAGAAAAATATATTTAACGTCGAGAAGGCACCTGACTTTTTCGAGTTAATGCTGGCAACCAATGTTGGCGACAAATTTAGGACGGTCGAGCCCGACGCTGTTCGACAAATCGAAACGAGACACTTTCAACAGTTCAATGTTGGACACGCATTGGTGAATTACGCAAAAGTCTTTCAAAATAGGGTCGGTCAAAGGGATTACTTTCGGAAGGAAAGAAACGTCAAAGGTGCCAGAGTGTATCATTACACGATAAACAAAAAATGCGTCAACCAAGTACACCCTGCCCAGATTCAGGAGGGTTTTCAGCATGTCCTGTACAAGGTCGTGTCCAATCAGCTACTGGGTGGAAATAGGAATAAGAAAAAAATTTTGAAAAGTCTCTACAACTTTCTTATAACAGCCAAAACTGAGTCTTTCTCCTTGATGCACCTATTGAAGCAGCTCAATGTAATTCTTGTATTATTTTTTATTCAAATCAAGGTATATTTTTCATGCTTGATTGTGTTTACCATTAAAATAGGTTTCATCAATTCAGTGGTTGCAACGTGTGGACGAACAGCAAAACAAATACATCCTTTTAGCTAAATTCATAAAATTGTTGTTTCAATATTTTTTGATCATAATCTGTCGGCAATTTCAAGTGTCCTACATCAAAGAGTTGCGTGTCTTTATTCACGTGAAAAATTTTAATGCGCAAAAAAAATTTTACATGAAAAAGTTGGAAAAAAACATGGCGATTGAACCGGATGATGCAGTAAGTGATGATTGTAAGATTAAAAATAGACTTAATTTGATTCCAAAGACAAATGGCTTGAGGCCAATCATAATCAATAAGTAAGTAAATACTCAAAGTGCTTGGAATGATCAGTATTTTTTTTCATTACAATAATATTAATCACACTTTTAGGCTTTCGACCGAAGACAAAGTAAATCTAAAAAAAGCTCTTTGTGTTTTGAGATATCTTAATGTAACTTTCGTGAAAAATGTGAGCAACAATTTTAGTGAAAAATATTCAAGCATTGTTAAAGAAAATAGAATGTCAGATGACAACAAAATATACATAGTATCCACTGACATAATCAATGCTTATGGATCCATAAAAATCTGTAAGTCATTTATTTTGTTTAACAATAGGCTGATGTAAAAATTTGTTCACGCTGTTTTCTTTGTCAGTTAAGCTCCATTCTATAGTCGAAGAATTATTTGAAAAGTTACCAGATATCCTGAAACTGGAAAGACATATAGTAAAAAAAAATAAGAAATATACGTATTTGGAACCTGGAAAAAGGCGATTGGCAGTGAAGAAAAGAAATAATGGAACGATTGAAACTGTCAGGAAAATCGATATATTCAACTTGATACAAGATTCAATTTTGAATATACAAGTAATAAAATACACTTCATAAATACATATTGTACTTATACTTTTGATATTTCAATTTTTTTTTTTTTTTAGTTTACTTACAGAAACAAGGTGTACAATTTGACTAAAGGTATTGGTCAAGGCTTAATTTTATCATCCATATTATGCGACATTTATTATGCAATGATGAGGAAAAAGTATTTTTCCTCGTTCGAAGAGCAAGGCTTTCTTTTTTATTATGTGGATGACAGTATTTACATTACTAAAAGCCAAAGTCTTGCAATGCTGTGAGTACAACAAAATAAACTCATGCACTCCAATTGTACCTAATGAGCTTCAATTAAATTCCATTACAGCTATCTCGATAGAATAATTAAGGGAATTCCAGAATACAACTGTTGGTTTAATAAATCAAAATTGAAAATTAACTTCGACTCTTCTTATGTTACTATAGAACAATGTTTGAGCATTGATTTCTTGGGCTGGAAAATCCATTGTGATTCGCTTGAAGTAGAGCCGACTTATGAAGTAGCTCGTTATTCTACAACTTACACTCGACTTTCTTATTTGTAAGTTCAATTATAGTATTAAAGTAAAAAAAATGTTATTATAAACGTAATTTTTTAAATATGTACATTTTAAGGTCACTGCAAAAAAAAATTTTAAGCATGATGGCTTTGAAAATAAAGAAGTTGGTCTTGAGTAACGAAGTAAATAGTGAAACGCGAGTAATAAACAATATAAAGATTATTGTACTGCAACACGCGAAACGGTGTTTTTCTTGGTTTAACTGCATATGGAGCGATGGATCTGAATTTTCGATCAAAAATCTTAGAAAGTCAAACAGACAGTTAATACGCAAAATCGAGCGTTTTACAGATTGGGGTAAGTAGTTTATAGATGAGTTAAAAAAAAAATACCATTGTATATGGGAAATTTGTTATTTAGATAAAAATCAGAGAAATCGCTATCACAACCAGTTGCAGTACATTGTTTGGACATCTTTTATTGAAGTCTTTAACAAGAAAAACAGTATGTTCTTAGACCAAATCGCAGAGTTTAAAAAACTGATGAGATATTACAAAAAGAAACTCAACGCATAAAGTGCTTTATTTTTGAAAATTTTTTCGACGTTATAAACATTTTTATAACCATTCCTTGCATTAAAAAAAAACATCACTGTTGAAAGTGCTGTTACTTGTATAAATTTTTTACTCTACACTTTAACACTAACGTTTTACTGAAAATTGCTGTATATAGAAAAATTTTTAATTTTTAATTTTATGAATGTAGATTTTTAAGTTTAATCAAGTATGTACATACAGTAACGTGTACTCTCGCTTACCGTACTCTTAAGCATTCAGCCAGCAGATTTTAAATACTTACTTGATAAGTCTGTTGGACGTGTATATAGTGCAACAACGATGTGTCTTGATGAAAATAAATCTCTATTTATATATATTTGGTCATAATGAGTATTTAATGTATTTTTATGGAGGATATTGTGTACGGAGGACTACTGCACTTTGATTATATATTTATGCATGAGATTATTCGTTTTTGACAAATTTATATGGTATGATTATTTATTATAATACAAAGGTACTGAGAAAGATAACATCCGCAACTTTTTTTGATTTTGCTTGAATGTTGAATACCATACATTAATTAATTTACCTACATCTGGAAATCACACTTATTTTTGACACTGTGCAAATTTTATGTTAATGAGACTACTTAATAATATAAATTATACGAGTATTGCTGAAAAATTGTAACGAACCGACCAACTGACTGATTGTGTCTGTATATTCTCTTTTATGTCGTTCTGCAGAATTATGCACTAAGAATAGCATGCTAATCTGCTCTTAGTCATTTCCGTAATAAGTAATCATGTACCTATATATATATATACTCTTGTTTTTTCGAATTCTAATACAGTGATTTAAAAATTACCGCTTTTTCTGAAATGGGGGCTCGATCGGTAAAATCAACAATTACACTATCAGTACTAAGGTCGAAACTCGAAATTAAAAGTCTCGTCTCGCTCGCAGTCTCAGTCGTTCGTCGTTCGTCGTGTCACGTGTCGTCAGTCGTCGTTCCTTCTCTGACTGAGTAGCACCGGAGATCACTAATCATCGTATTTTTGTGGTGTTCGTAACTTCACATAAATTTCATTGTGATGCAGTAGCCCAAAGTCCAACCCAAAGCTTCTGCACACTAGCTTCAACCTTGTATAAATATTGGCAAGCATTTCTCGAGGTGCAGTGTATGTTTAGAGCATATTAGCGTGTTCCTGGTTACATCTCTCTTTCTCTCCGACGAGGCACACGGTTGTTTTCCCTATAATCGTGCTGCTCTCTATTTCTGCCCCCAAGTGAAAAAGTGTACTTTGGGACTTCAACTTCACTGGAAGATACAAATAAGGCCACTGGAAAATGAACGGAGTCGTGACTATGGTAAGCGCTGACTGCCCATCATGGCTGCCGTATTTGGTTCGCATCGTTTGACTCTTTTGCTGTCGCTACCTCCCCCCCCCCGCCCTTTCCTTTCTCCACTCACACTTTTTGCCCACAACATGTAGGTAACGCTCCCGTACCTACTTTGAATTTTTTTTTTTTTTTTTTATTTACACCTGCATCATCCTTATGCCAATTGTTTTTTTCTTATTAACATATGCTTGAGAAATAATTATTGTAACTCTGGTAGGCTGTTTTTTTTTAACTCCGGTATAGGCTTTCAGTTTTTTTTTTCCTTCCTCGCAACGTCGCGTGTTATCTAGTAATAAAAATACTTCAGTACTCACCCACTTGTCTTGGTAGACTCATTATCGTGTACTTTATATATAGTTGCAGAGGTTTGCTCGGGCCTTCTTGTTTTATTGATTTTTCCTGACACCTTCCTTCTCTCTCTCTCTCTCTCTCTGCTTTTTTTTTTTTTTTTTTGCTGAAAGACTAGTTTTCTCTCCCCAAGCCAAGCACGTTTGTACATTTATGTGGGTCACACACAAAGTATATGGTCCATATATCTGTAGGATGAATTATAAGTGTATGGTCAAAGACGATTTGGCTGTGATAATATCCGTGCCATTTGGCAATCGGTTTGAAAAACAATTGGCAATTATTTTTAGAAGTTTGTCAAGGTCTCTATCTCGGGATTAACATTTATTGTTATGCTCTGTAATATACTTCAAAGTACAAAATTATGTTTTACTAATAGCGTTTTGTTTTCATGTAATTTGCATGTTGTCAATAATGAAATTCAGCCATGTAATTGTTTTCAAAATTTTCTTGAGTTAACATTATAACTCCCTAAAAAGCTAATGGTTGTAAACAAAACAATTGAGGTAGTCGTATTGGTAGTTTTGTTTTTTGATTCGATAAATGTACGAGTGCTTAGCAAAAAAATATTCATCTACTCCATACAACTTATTCTTTGATTATTACATTTGATTTTTTTTTTTTTTTTTTTTTTTTACAGCAACCGCCGCTATTGCAGCAAAACAATTCTGAGCCACCTGGAAAAAAGCCAAGACTAGAAGGTACATTACTAAGATTGTTGTTTATATGTCCATTCATATTTATGTAAGCAACGTAAGGACTGTTATCTTCTTAAAAAAATGAATCGCAATATTAACACACGAAAGCATCAACTTGAATCAGATTGCGATTTAAAGAGAAAAAAAAAAAAAAAAAAGAAAAAAAAACAGCAGAACTGAGATTCTTTTAAGTTACTTACAATCGCACTCTGGCTGAACTGGCCACTAATAAACACGTATATAATAAAAAAACAAATTATATTTTTTTTTTTGGTAAAAGTAAGGAAAAAAAAGAAAAAAATAAACCGGGATGATATGATAGAGTGATTCACTGATGGAACCTAAAATACACTTTAGGCTCGCGTTCACCGGGGGGCTACCCGTTTCCATCTTGCAAGTAAAACTAAACTAATGTATGGTTGTCCTTCTGTTCTGAGATGTTACAGTGGGGAGGACAGTACACAGAATCGGTGGCCTTCGACACTCACTCAGCTGTGTGATCTCATGAACGCGCATCAATGAAAGAAACAGAACGAATACCGAGTTTTCTAATGAAAGAAAAACTCTTTCTCCCACTCTATGGCCTCATGGCAACTTTATAATGTCAATGAAATCACGTTGTTTAGATAGGTCAGCATTTTAGGATAGCTAAAACCACTTTATTTTATTTTTTTTTTGTTATTTTGCTCATTAAGTACACACCTTTATTCGTACTTTGGTTGGTTAGCTTGAAATCACTTGGATCTCAAGTATTTTTTTATCATTTTCATCATCAAGAGAATGAAGGTTTGTGCTTGAAAGAAGCATTGGCGAATATGGATATCAAAATCTGTTGATTTAAAAACAAATTTTTTTTTTTTTTTTTATTGAAAACATTGTGCTCAGTTCAGGTAAGTGTATCTTCAATCACCGGGAGATCGCCATTGCTTTCCTCAGGCACTAGATTTTTTTTTACGATTACTTTCGGTTCAGTATGTTTTGCTCTGGTTCCTTGGGTGTTTGAACTATACAAATTATGTACAACACAAAAAAAAAACATGGTCGAAATCATGCGAGAACGCGTGTCTTTGAGACATTTTGTTTAAGAACTGACTGAACGAGACCAAAAGTAATCGCAAATAAATCCGCAGTACCAAGGAAAGAAAAAGACACGAGAAGTAAAGTGGGTTGAAAAAATTTGCACAATAAACAAAAGTTTAGCGTAGCTGGTTAGGGTTGATTGAGGCAAAAGCATTGTTTTTCGATTCGCGCAAAGTAATTGCACTGAAAGGGTTCTCCTTTTTTGCTTTGTGCTTACAGATGATCTCTCTAATCTGCGCCCGCACTCACGACTTACTCGGACGAATAGAGTTTGAGTGCTCGACCCTGATATGAACCGCACATGGTTAGCCCAATAAAAGAAAACAAAAAAAAAAATTTTTTTTTTTTCTCATCAGGCGATATGTCATATATGTCACACGGTCGAGTGGCTGCACGTTATTGAAGTTGATGAAAATAGACTTCTAAAGTACCTCAGACTTTAATATAGCCTTTGAAAGTCTTGAAAAAAAACTTTAGAATTTTTATTGAAACTTCAAACCGTGCAACCTCTTGTTATACGGTTCTTTTGAACATATATGATTTAGGCTTGATTTTTTTTTTTGAATGGAGAGGTACGATTATTAAGTTTGCTGAAAATAAACGTGTAACTATTCGTGCAAAAATACCTTCGTACGCATCAGCGCGTGGAATTCATTTCAATCATCAATCTGTTGATCTATGAATGAATTACACGTGATGTGTATTTGTCGGATGTATGTATAGTACACGTAAAGTTTTTTCTTTTAAAAGCATTTAAAAACCATTTTTATGAGAGAAAGAAGCACTTTATCAAAGCGTCTTGTTTTTTGGTTTCTGTTTCAGAAATGTCTAATCCAGCCAAATTGGTATAGCAAATATAGCGAGTATTTTGCTTCTCTTTGTTTTTCGTATTCTGCACAACTTTATTGCGTTGTACCTTGAAACTAATCATTAAGAACCGGAATCTTATCGAGGATGGTTCAGTTGAAAAAGTAATTTTTCATTGTGTCAAATTGAAAAAATATACATATATATATAAATATACATATAAATATTTAATTTTTTTATCATCAAAAAAAATAGTACCCAGTACATGGTGCGGTTATTGAATTTATATTTGAGGGAAAAGTAATAATAAACAAAGATTCTCATGAATTGCAATTTACCTAGCTTGAGAGGATTGTTAGGTGACTAATTCCTATCTTGATTTTTTTAATGTCTTTGAACTTTCAGTTTCATGGAGGTGTACCTTACATCATGGAAGTGCTGAAGTGAACCATCGTTTATAATTTACATTTTCATTCCCTTCATAATTCCATCGTCCATTCTTCGTCTCCTGCACCGTTCATATATTATTATTTTTGAATCCTTGTAGAATTCATTTTTTTTTCTCATAATCTTTTACATGCATCATAATAATCATGAATCAGACTCACAAGTTGATTAATCATTGTCTATCAATTTTGCAGAACTCTCTCACTATGAATCCCAAAGAATCGTTGACATGATACAATAGTCCCAAGAGCAGGCTTCTTTATTAAGAAAAATATTGATCCCTTGATGTTATAAATATAAATATAATACTATTCATTTGAGTTTAATGATTTTTCATTTTTCTGAAAAATACATCAAACGATACGTTAACCGTCACGAGATCACTTATCCCGAAGAAAAAAAGTATATATATATTAATCGACGACGCGTGTAAAAAAATAATTGGGGTGTATTGTTCGAGTGATGGTTGACATATATCAATAAAATATAAAACAAGTTTTAGCCGATGTTTAATTAACTATTTTTACAGGAAATGGCACGGATTTCTTGCCAGGGCCGATTTACGATCTCAATCAAACAGGCCAACTGGTTGCAGGTACGTTAAATCAATTTTTTTTTTACATTATTTTTTAAATTGATACTTTTATCATGAATATGATGTAGAAAAATCAATCGTGACGTTATTGTAAAAGTCGAGTCCTTTCGTCCAAGTTGATGTCGAAAGTCGATTCCTTGATCGCGTGAGCGCTTTGCTGATAAGATCTGATTTATTGCCACAATCTCACTTTTTAATCGCACAGCTGTACATCGAGACTCGTAACTAATAATTTTTTTCTTGCTCTTACTCTTTTGCAGGACCCGGGGCCAAATACTTGACTTTGCCTGGACTCCTGGGATCGGGCCTACCAAAGATTTCGTCCGACCAGCTGGATACTATCAACAGGGCCAAAAAGTATGCTATGGAACAGAGTATAAAAATGGTTTTGATGAAGCAAACTCTCGCTCATCAGCAACAGGTAAATGTTTTTTTTTTTTTTTTTTTTTTTTTTTTTTTTTTTTTTGTGTTTTTCACAGAAACTTTTAATTAAAAGATTTTTATTTTTGTTGATTTAAAGAATTCTAATTAATAATTCATTTAATTATGAGTATGGAAAAAGTACATAATAGTCTGTTTAATTTTGAATAATTTTGAGTTTTATTGAATAACTTTTACGTTACTTAAACTTTTTTTTTTGTTCTTTTTACATATTTTAACGAATTTAAAAAACATCATCGGTAATATATAATTTAAAAAAAAAAGACTTAAGAATAATCATTATTTGCTCTTTACCAAATCCAAAACCTGTAATAAACTCAAAGTGAGTTTATCATGAAATGTCGATGCGTAAACCTATACTTTGCAAAAGTCTCAAATGAAAGTTATGTAGAAAATCGAGTTGCTAAACGGCATGAAAGATCTAGCCAACCCTTTACAGTAAATGTTTGACTGGATGATGTTCTGTTTCTTTTCCCTGCAGAAAAATAAATTGGCCCTTCGTCAGCAAGTTTTGTTGCTTATGTGCAGGTTAGTGTCAATCAATCACACGTAACACATAGTTATGAAAGATTTGTTTTTTCAAACATTTGTCTTACCCTTTTTTTCACATTATACGAAAATTACGAAATAAAGATAATTAGTTCGGCGGGAGCAGAGCAGAACTCCACTGTCAGCTGATTCCTGATTTACCTATTTCCTTTTTTCATTCCTGCCTCTTCCTCTACCTTTCATACGCAAATTCATCGAAAATTCCATTAACAACGAAATCATTCAGTCTGTGTCAAAAAAACCACATTTACATTGCATTTGTTGAAAATAAGAGGAAGTGTTTAGGAATGGTAAAAGAGCTTATAATATATAAGTAATTGTAAGGGAAATCGGGGATATCACTAGAAGGCCAATGGCACTTTGTGTTGCAGCAAATGGCCAGTCAGAGGAATCAGGTGCAAAGACAACAGGCTCTGGCTCTTATGTGCAGGTTTGTTTGCTCTTTACCATAAAAGAACAATGCAAGAATTATAATTTCTTAGAATCCTGCTCATATGCCATCCTCCGGAATTGTACAGTGTCATATTCTCCCTTCCCGTTAATACATACCATTAATGCATGATCATTACTTTATTTATATCATACATAGGCATAATTTTACTAACGAATCAGTTTTTGTTGACTCCAAAGTAAGCTACCTGCTCAATACAATTTTGGATTTTTGTAAAAAAAATCTTTTATTGTTTTTACTCCTATATGTTTATTTTGGAATCCTCAAAATATGATAAAGCAACATAAGCATCTTTATTCCTTATGGTCATTCTGGTTATTTTAACTATAGTCAATAAAACAAGTTTTTATCTTACCAACAAATTGTTGTTTGAAATATACATAAGGATTGGTAATAACGTATGGTTAAAATAGCCAGACTTTTTTCTTACCTTCTTCTGTCAAGTTGTGAAAAAAAATTTAATCATAATGTCAACTAACTTGCACGATGTTTGATTGATTACTTGTAAACGCAGATACTTTTTTTAACAGGTGCACAAAAAAATTAATATTAAGTTTAATCAAGTTATCTTTTTATACGCAGCACTACGGCCGATTCTTGCAATTTTAGCACTATATAGCATAAATAATTTTAAACAAACTGATTTAATTTAACAATTTGTATTAAAACCGCAGGGTATACGTAGGCAGCATAAGTTTCGAGCTAAAGGAGGACACTATCAGGCAAGCCTTTTTGCCGTTTGGCCCGATTAAGTCCATCAACATGTCGTGGGATCCAGTCACCCAGAAACACAAGGGTTTTGCCTTTGTAGAGTATGAAATTCCCGAGGCGGCCCAATTGGCTCTTGAACAGATGAATGGAGTTATGATTGGGGGCCGCAATATCAAGGTAGCGGGACGTAACTATTTAACGAATTTCCTGTCCCTGCGAAATCCTAACGACTCCTTGGAGGTCCGATGTAATTTATTTTGATCCTATCCACTTTTTTCTTGTTTCTTTCCTTATTTTTATCCTTGTTTGACATGTTTCATTTAGAATTTTTTTTTTTTTTTTTTTTTTTTTTTTTTTTTTTTTTTTTNTGACCAAGGAGCCCCTAAAAATTAATAACTATTACAACAAATGTATTTGTTTTAACGACTGAACCTTTAGAAAAATGCAACAAAACGTGTCAAACATGCTGGAATCCTTAAGTCCACAACCAAATCAATATAAATAAATTTGTCAATTTTTTTTCTTGAATTGTTTAAGGATTCTTTTCTCAACTGTCGCAGTCTCACAATTTAACTGACGACAGTCGATTTCTTTAAATAACAATCAATTTGTCATAAATAAGGAAATATCTCGAATTGTGGTATTGGCTGAGAAAAACCAAACTAACGCACAATGTGATGATTTTCAAGGTGGTGGGTAGACCTTCGAACATGCCACAGGCCCAATCAGTCATCGACGAAATCACAGAGGAGAGCAAGCATTACAATCGCATTTACATAGCATCCATTCACCAAGAACTCTCCGAGGACGACATAAAATCGGTCTTTGAAGCCTTTGGACCCATCACCTACTGCAAACTAGCACAGGGCAGCTCTCCCCACCGGCACAAGGGCTACGGCTTCATCGAATACGAGACAATGCAATCTGCCCTCGAAGCCATAGCTTCGATGAACTTGTTCGATCTCGGTGGTCAATATCTGAGGGTAGGCCGAGCCATCACACCACCCAATGCACTCATGGGTCCACCCAGTGGAGCTGGTATGATGCCCACAGCAGCAGCAGTCGCGGCGGCTGCGGCTACCGCCAAGATCCAGGCGATGGACGCAGTGGCCAGTAACGCGGTGGCGCTAGGTCTCTCGAAGCTTGGAGCAGCTGCTCAGCCAATTCTGAACTCAGCCCTGCCGGGCATAGTCCGACCCACTTTGGCTTCTACCGGTATTTTGGCGGCGCCGGCCGTGGTCTCGGTAGCTCCCATCATTCCACCACCGGGTATCGCCATACCCCAGTCCACTGGCCGTCCACCCGCGATAATCCCAGCTATTCCTGGACAAGCCGTCGTCATACCACCGCCAGCTGTAGTCACGCCAACCGTCGTTGGTGCGCCGGTCGTAATGCCAGTGGTGAACACAACGGTGAGTGTAGGCTCTCCTGGAATAAACGTGGCTTCGCCGGCGATGGCTGCGGCGGCGGCGGCGGCAGCGGCGGCTGCTGCAGCGGTGGGACCAGAGGCTCTGAGGCGAGCACAAGAGCAAGCAGCTCAAAAACAGCAGGAGGAGCTGCAAAAGAAGCTACTCGAGGAGGCTGAGCCTCAGACTCTTCAGCAGCAAGAGAACATGTCTATCAAGGGTCAGAGCGCGCGGCATCTCGTCATGCAAAAGCTCATGCGCAAGGTCGAGTCACGCGTTGTTATTTTGCGCAATATGGTATCGCCCGAGGATGTGGATCAGACTCTACAGGAGGAAATCCAGGACGAGTGTTCCAAGTATGGTTCTGTACAGAAAGTGATTATTTACAACGAAAAACAGTCCGAGGATGACGAGGATGCCGAGGTGATTGTCAAGATTTTCGTTGAGTTCCGACAGATGTCTGGTGAGTTGAAGGCTTGATTTTGCTTCCGTTTATAAATTTTCACGTTGGATCATAACAATTTTATTTATTTTTTTTTCTAATTGCAGAAGCCGAGAAGGCGAGGGACGCGTTGAATGGCCGTTACTTTGGCGGTCGGTTGGTCAAAGGTGAGCTATATCATCAGGAGCTCTACAACAACAATGATTACTCGGGTTGATGAGTTACCCTTGTCTTTGCATCGACACCTGTTCATAAAGCAGAGTCGCGCACGTTTTCTCCTATGGAAGAAGGCGCGAACGCAGCAAACTCTCGTGCACGCTTGAGCCTTAATTGAATGATCAATTTTTTTTTTTTTTATACGGAAAAATCGTTTGAATTTGGTTCTGCAGAACTGAGTGTGTTGGACGATTTTTTTGGAATTTTTCACAAAATTCACCTGTGCATATAAATTACCTTGTAAGCTATAGTTTATTTTAAGACAATCATATTTCGTTTTAAACTTGTGTATCGGTAAATAATGTGCTCTTTTACAACTGTAGATCCAAATCTCTGTCACTGTAATTACTTGATGATCGTATAATCATCATGCCATGGTACATATGAATTAATTTACATACATTAACCTGTTGAGGTCAGGGTGTGTTTTGCAGTTATGTAGTTGTATACATTTTTTTCTGTTTATTTTTGTGATGAGCAAAAATAAAGAGTTTTTTTTTCGTGTTTATTGTGTGTATGGAATTTATATGACAATGAAAAGTGACCAGTAGAGATTGAACAAAATAATTAGATGAGCTGAATGTTGGTTCTTTCGATTGACAGTATGAATGCGATTATATTCATTCATTGGTGATGATGAACCTGTGTATAGTAGTATTTAATTATGAAATAAATAATTTTGCAATCGACGATTGTTCTTGTTTCCACGAATTCCTAGCAACCAACGGAAAATCCCAATTAAAATAAGCTTGTTTGGATTGTCAATTTATTAATGAGTAGAGCTAAAAAGTACTATTCAAATTTAGATATTTTTTTACATTTTTAACACATGTACACTTGTAAGTATATTTATATGACAATTTATGCCATGTAATACTTATGTAAAAAAATATGATTTTGGAGCGCTGCGAGAGAGACAACTCTAACCTAACCTTCAAAATAAGCACCCTGTCTGTCTGCTGCTGTGCGTGTTGGATTAACAACAACAACAGACGACACTTGCCAAAATATATACATCACGAACAATAACAATCGGACAAATAAACAAAATGATAACCAACTGTGATTGTAAAAGTAAAGAAAAAACAGTGATTAAAATCCCGAAATGAGAAGAAAGAAAAAACGACGAAGCCCCGAATGAACAAACTTGTTTTTTTATTTCCTTAATAGTGCTTGAAAAATATTTAAAAAAAAGCAATAATCAGCTATGGCCTTCTTCTTCACCGATCACGTGCACACGAAATCCTTCACCCCCCGCGAGCACCAGGTCGAGCTCCTCTACTCAGCTTTGGAGCGCAACATAATAATCTGCCTGGGCAAAACGCCGGAGCTGACCTTCATCGGCACAAAGCTCGTCCAAGAGTTCTCGATCGGCAACAGAAAGAGCCTGTCCGAAAATGGCAAGAGGATCATCTACCTTCTCGAGGACGACGAGTCCTGTGCGGCCAAGGCCCTCCACCTCGAGCAAACGACCGACCTGAAGACCCTGCGCTGCCAAACCGTCGAGGAGTTCAACGAGCTGAGCTTCAACGAGGACGCCCTGGTGCTCCTCTTGACCGTCGAGCTGTGCAGCCAATTGCTCACCAATGGTGTCCTTCCGGCCACTCGAATAGAGCTCCTGCTGATCGACAAGTGCCACAATCTGTCGGGTAAGAGCAAAGAGCTAGCCAGTGTGCTTGATGCCTTCTGCGACAGCAAAACGAGGATCGTCGGCTTTGCCGTGCCCCTCTACAGCCTGACCAAGGAGCCCGGCCAGCTGAGCTACGAGATCGAGAAGATCGAGTCCTCGCTGAGGTGTCAAATCGAGACTGCCAGTGACCTGCTCTCCATACTGAGGTACAGTCCCAAGCCGAGGGAGTACATGCTGGGCTACAGGATCGAGGGCAGGCAGGAGGCAGCCAATCTGCTGTGGAACTGTGCGAACGACGCCCTGGACTTTATGTGCGACCATCGCTACGATCCCTCCGAGATCTACGAGGACGAGTTTCTCGAGGACATCAAGAAGATCCCGGATCCCAAAGAGAAGCCCTGCCAGATGATCAGGGAGTTCATGAACGTTCTGGACACCCTGGGGCCTTGGGCTGCGGACAGGGCGGCCTATGCCCTGATGACCTCTGTGGAGAAGCTCAAGATCAAGACACCCTACGACAGGCACTATTTGCTTCTGGGCACCCTGACCACTCTGTTTGTCAAGATCCGGGCTTACTGCGATTCGTTTTTCGAGGGCCTCAAAGAGTCCGAGAAGATCTTCAGGTTCTCCAGTCCAAAGATCCACAGGTTGATCGAGGTGATGAAGGTGTTCACGCCGGCGGACAAGGGCGACAGTGTGAAGAAGGACGTTGAGAGAACGGAGATTAGCGTTGCCAGGAGCAACAACGGGAGGAGCCAGTACAAGAAGCCAGACGCTGAGCTCAAGCGGGCCAAGTACTACCGTCCGCGGGGCCCTACGGATCCTGATCTGCTCTGCGGCCTCATCTTCGTGGACGACGTGATAACCGCCAAGGTGCTGTTCTACCTACTGCTCGAGTTGAGCAAGAACGAGGAGGACTTTCGCTTCCTCTCGCCCCTCTACATGAGCGAGAAGACCAACGACGACATTATCAGCGGCCGGGACATAGAAATGGAGCACAAAAAGCAGGAGGAGGTGCTCAAAAAGTTCCGCATCCATGACTGCAATCTCCTGATCTCGACCTCCGTGCTCGAGGAGGGCATCGACATTCCGAAATGCAACTTCGTCATGAGGTTCGACTTGCCCAAAAACTACCAGTCCTACGTGCAATGCAAGAGCCGCGCTCGGGCCACCGACGCCCTTCACGTTCTCTTGGTCTCCGAAACCAAAGCTCAAGAGTGCGTCAAAGCCCTGGCTCACTACCACTATATAGAAAAAATCCTGCTGGCCAAGTGCTCGAGCAAGGATGCCAGTCCCACGGAAGAGGCCCAAGCGGACACCTACGACTCGTTACTGCCCTTGTACAAGCCACTACCCGATGCAGATGCTCCCAGAGTCACGCTCAATTCTGCCATATCACTGGTCAACAGGTAAAAATGAGAGAGGACTTGTTCACACTTTTCGACTGGTCAATAATTTTACAATTTACTGTGCACAGGTACTGCGCCAAACTGCCAAGCGACACTTTCACGAGACTGACCCCAGAGTGGAAGTTTCGCAGCGCCGACAACGACAAGATGTTCGTGTGTAGTTTGCGTCTGCCGATAAACTCGCCTTTGAAGTACTGCATCGAGTCGTACCCGATGCCGAGCAAGGCCCTGGCCAAGCGCGTCGCAGCCCTGATGATGTGCATCCAGCTACACCGCGAGAACGAAATAGACGGCCACCTGATGCCCGTGGGCAAGGAGAACTTCAAGGCCCATCCGGAGGACAGCGAGGTGCCAGCTCTACCTGACGACGAGAGCACGAACGGGCTGGAGGCGCGCCCGGGCACGACCAAGCGACGCCAGTACTACTACAAAAAGATTGCCGACGCTCTGATAGACTGCAAGCCCGAGCTCCACCGGCCGTGCTTCCTTTATCACATACGCATGGTGCTCAGTTGTCCCCTGCCTGAGGAGCAGAACACGAGGGGTCGGAGGATATACCCGCCCGAGGAATCGGCCATCGGCTTCGGTGTGCTCACCCACAAGAGAATCCCCAAGCTCTGCCCTTTCCCGATTTACACGAGATCCGGCGAGGTAAGGGTCGAGCTGAGGCTGTGCAAGGAGACCGTTGTCCTCGACGACGCCCAGGTCGACAAGGCCGTGTCATTTCTCAATTACACTTTTACCAATGTCCTGAGGTAGGTATACACATGTGGGGTAGGGAATTACGGTTGTTTTTAATTTGCCGTGTAATAGCCACGAGTCTTGGACAACCTTGCAGGCTGCAAAAGTACCTGATGCTGTTCGATCCCAACGTCTCGGAGAACTCGTACATAATAGTGCCGGTCAAGCGCCCGGCCAATCCTCAGTCCGACGTGAGCGTCGATTGGGACTTTATCGAGCGCATCTACGAGGACCGCAACGCCGCGCCAACCCGACTGCCCGAGGAGAGCCGGCGCACCTTCAGCTTCGACCCGAGCAAGTACAACGACGCCGTTGTCATGCCCTGGTATCGCAATCAGGACCAGCCCCAGTACTTTTACGTGGCCGAAATCTGCAACCACCTCAACCCGCGCTCGAGTTTTCCTGGCAGCGACTACAAGACCTTCGAGGAGTACTACCTCAGGAAGTACAAGATTCAGATTCAGAACCTTGACCAGCCGCTCCTCGACGTCGACCACACCTCGGCGAGACTCAACTTTTTAACACCCAGGTGTGCACCTTTGTTGGACGGGCGTGAGGATTTTTTTTTTTCTTATTTCAATGACCTTTTGGCAATTTTGTAGGTACGTCAACCGAAAGGGCGTGGCGCTGCCGACGAGCAGCGAGGAGACGAAACGCGCCAAACGCGAGAACCTCGAGCAGAAGCAGATCCTCGTCGCGGAGCTCTGCGCCGTACACCCGTTTCCAGCCTCGCTCTGGCGTCAAGCCGTCTGTCTGCCCTGCATACTGTACCGCATAAACGCGCTGCTGCTGGCCGACCAGATAAGGTGCGACGTCGCACGAGCCATCGGCTTGGGCCAGATGACACTGACCGAAGAGTTCGAGTGGCCGGCTCTGGACTTTGGATGGAGTCTCGCCGACGTGCTCAAGAGGTCGCGGGACAACGACAAAGTGAAGAAGGAGGACCGAGATAACGCAGACTGCGAGCCAATGCCCAGTCCAAAGGAGAACGGCTCGGGGAACAAGAAGAGGGAAAAACCGAAGCTAACGGAGGAGATCGATGCGGACGAGGACATAGAGGAAATTGGAGGTGGAGAGGCTGAGCTGGAGATCGGCACTTGGTCGAACGACATGCTAAAGACGGTGGAGCCGATGGTCAACGGGCTCAGTTGGGGCAACGTGCGCTACGGCTCGCCAAATTTTGGCTCTTACAACAATGACGGTGACGTCAACGACGACGATGACGACGACGACGACGATGACGACGATGACGAGTCCGTGGCTAGTTACAGCGACGACGACGACGATGATTACTACTACGATGATTACGGGAGCGACAGCAGCGGCGACGACGACGAGAACCAGGACAAGAAGAATCTCATGATAGCGTACAACAACGACAATGAGGCGGAGGCCTTCGACAAGAAGGGCCAGTCGTTCGAGAAGGACCGGAAGTTGGGCATCGACGCACAAGACAGGCTCAATGATCACGGCTGGGACAGCGGCCGCGCTCTCGACGACGATCTCGAGTTCCAGCGGCACAGGGCCGCCCACGAGGAGAACGTACGGAGAAACGAGGAAGCGATAGCGTCAGCTGGAGGCCCGTACGTGCCCGTTGACAGTCCGGTGACGTTCACGCGCAAGAGCTCCAAGCCTACGAACGCGACCGAGGAGGAGCTGGAGCACGAGGAGTACGTGCGCAGGGTATCGGCGACCTTCGAGGCGGACCTGTTGCTCGCGAAGAACAACCTGAAGAACAAGCAAGTCCCGGCGGTTAAGGCCCCTTGCCAGGGCTCTCTCGTCAGTACGAACGATGGCTTCAGCTTTGACCGGCAGCCTGAGCTCGAGGGCCACCCGGGCCCCAGCCCAAGCCTCATCCTGCAGGCCCTGACGATGTCCAACGCGAACGACGGCATCAACCTCGAGCGGCTAGAGACGATCGGCGACTCGTTTCTCAAGTACGCCATCACCACGTATCTCTTCTGCACGTACAGCAACATCCACGAGGGCAAGCTCAGCCACTTGCGCTCCAAGCAGGTGAGCAACCTCAACCTCTACAGGCTGGGCAGGCGAAAGCGCCTCGGCGAGAGCATGATAGCCACGAAATTCGAGCCGCACGACAACTGGTTGCCACCGTGCTACATGGTGCCGAAGGAACTGGAGCGCGCCCTCGTCAGGTCGGGCGTGCCCTCGGCCATGTGGCCCAGGACCGAGCTCGGGCTCTGCAGCGACCAATCCGAGATAGACGAGCTCGTGCGCGAGACCGAGCAGAAGCTCGAGATCATGCGCAGTGAGCTCGTGCAGCAGCAACAACACAATCAGTTGCAATCGTCCCAGCAGTGCGACGAGTTGCAACAACTGCGCACCTTCATACCCTACAACCTGATAACCCAGCACAGCATACCGGACAAGAGCATAGCCGATTGCGTCGAGGCCCTCATAGGGGCCTATCTCATAGCCTGCGGCCCGAGGGGTGCTCTGCTCTTTATGTCTTGGCTGGGTATCCACGTGCTCCCGTCCGAGGAGAGCAGCATCGCTCTGCAGGAGCTTACCTGCAGGGTGCCAGGTAGCATGCCCTACGAGAAGACGGAGAGCGGCGAGTGGGTGCAGTTGCGGTACGGCAGTCTGGAGGAGCCACCGAGTCCGTTGTTTCGGAACGTGGAGCGGCCCGAGGAAGAGCTCAAAGCCATGTTGGACGGCTACGAGGAGCTGGAGCGCGCGATCGGCTACCGGTTCGCCGACCGCAGTTACTTGCTCCAGGCGTTCAGTCACGCGTCGTACCAGCCGAATCGGTTGACCGACTGCTACCAAAGGCTCGAGTTCCTGGGCGACGCGGTCCTCGACTACCTGATAACGCGACACCTCTACGAGGACCCGCGCCAACACTCGCCCGGTGCCCTTACGGATCTGAGATCGGCTCTGGTCAACAACACGATATTCGCCTCGTTGGCGGTGCGCTGTGGCTTCCACAAGTACTTCCGGCACCTGTCGCCCGGCCTGAACGCCGTGATCGATAGGTTCGTGCGGATCCAGGAGGAGAACGGCCACTCGATCAGCGAGGAGTACTACCTCATTGGCTCGGAGGAGTTTGAAAGCGAGGCTACCGGGGAGGAGGCCGAGGACGTCGAGGTGCCCAAGGCCCTGGGCGACGTGTTCGAATCGCTGGCCGGTGCCATTTATCTGGATAGCGGCATGTCCCTGGACGCCGTGTGGGGTGTCTACTTTATGATCATGCGCGCCGAGATCGAGCAGTTCAGCGCCAATGTGCCCAAGTCGCCGATCAGGGAGTTGCTCGAGCTCGAGCCCGAGACCGCCAAGTTCGGCAGGCCCGAGAAACTGGCGGACGGCAAGCGCGTCAGGGTTACAGTCGACGTCTTCGGCAAGGGCTCCTTCAAAGGCATCGGCCGGAATTACAGGATCGCCAAGTGCACGGCAGCCAAGTGCGCGCTGAAGAAGCTCAAGAAGGCCAGGAAGTCCGGATAGATTTTTTATTTACCACACTTTTTTAATGTTGTCTTTCGAAGTGCATTTATTGCCCGGTGGCGGGCACTTGCACGCGATCTCGATGGTGTTCAGATTTTTTACTTGTTTTCCTCGTGTGTATGATCCTTGTTGACTTGGAAGAGGAGTTCCTTGCGTGTGCTGTTATGTTGAGCTTGAAAGTATTAGATTTTATACACTTCTGGTATTGAAAGTTAACGTATGTGATAGCGTTTGCGTGCAAATAGAGGATACGCGGACGTTTATTGTTTATTTGTAAAAAATAAAGACAATTTTACATGTAATTATACTCTTGAATGGATTTTTCTCTTTTCATTCCTCACCCAACACTTCTTGCAGATTAAGTACGAGAGGTTTTAAGAACATCCAAGTGGTGTTTTCCATATATTATGCATCAGTATACCAGAAATGTTTAAGTTTGGTTTAATGAGTAGATTTTGTATGATAAAAAAAAATTATTTTATTTATCAAATACTTTTTGTAAATACTTACACAGTTTAATCTATGATAGTCTGTGCAAAACTCAATGATTTATGAGACTATCCGTAGAAGACTTACAGCTTTTGTTTTTTTTTAATATACAGTACAATGATTATGTATTACATACTTTAGTCAATTATTTTATGATCCTTACGAAACGTAATTTTGGCATTATTTGTATAGTATATAATATATGCGTAATCTAGAAAACTATGCTTTCGTGCATCTCGATTTCTTTCTCGACCTTCTTGTAGTAGGCTGAAACAAGAAAAAAAATACGTATCTGAGTTTTATTCAATCTATCTTCATCACGACTGAAAAAAAGCGCTAAAGATACCTCCTTATTTTATACATAAAACAAAAAGGGGAAAAAAAAAGCATCTCCTCACCGCTTTTCGCTGCCTTGACGGTCTTCTTGAAGTCCCAATTGGCGGTCTTAACATCCAGAAGGTTCTTCTCCCGGTTCTCGTCCCCCATCTTCTTGAGGGTTTTGCGCGCCCGTTTCCTCGCCAACAACGCCTGTTCGCACTGTTCGCTCCACCAGGGCGGTATCTGACGCCTCGGCGTCCGTCGTTTTTTCTTCAGCAACAGGTCAAAGTTCACCGTGAACCTATTCTCCGCCACTACCTTTACCTCCTCGTCCAGGTATCCAATTTTGTTGTCGGTGTTATCCTCTTCGTCGTCGTCGTTGTTATCCGACTCGTCCTGCGTCAGTATTTTCGGTGAAATGAAATGTTATTATAGACAAAGAAATGTTTGTAGAGAATATTATTGTATTACTTACGATATCCACGTTTTCCGGATACTTGATCGAGCCGTTTATTCTCTTTAGGTATTCTACCAGTTGCTCCATTCTATTGTTATATGCGTTTGTATATCTGCGGATATGACCTTTTAAGCTACAAACAAAAAGAAACAATATATTCCACTTTTGATTGATTCACTGTTTTTATCGTTACTGTAATTTATGAAGTCTTATACATGCAACAATACTACTCGAAGGTCAGAGAGAGGATATAAACATGTTACACAAGATGCAACAAACGAGAGCGAGAGATTGTACACTACTTATCAATGTATTTATACTTGGTCGAGAATCGAGACTCTTCCTTGTGATCGCGTGCATAAATTTATAAAAAAGAAAAACACTCATTTCGTTCATAGAATTTGATGATAATGGTAGACAATACATCAACCATATACGTACTGCACACTTGCAATTTGCAATTTCAAAAAATTCGGAGGAGAAAAAATGTTACATTAGAATTTCAACCTTGGATATCTATACTTACTATTGTGTGTTGTCACGTTGTCAGGTATTTGATAAATCTGATCACAAAAACCATTCGTTGTCATTTATATTTCGTTTGATTTCGTTCGAACCCCCCTAGCTCAGTTTAGTCAGTTTTGTTAATTTCGAAATCTCTGTGAAGGACTTGATTTAGGGTTGACTTGATTAGGTATTTCGAGGATTGGACAACGAGCCTGAAAATAAAAGGAAATAAGCTATCACCATATCACCAATCACCTTAGATTCGACATTCGACCATTTCAGAATTCAGTGCTTTACAAAAAAAGACGCTGAACTACCTTACCGACTGCTGCTCACGTGATCAAGGCATGTTAGGTTAGACGGGCAAACGGCAAACGGCAAAAGCCAAGGCTGCAAAGCAGCGAAAAACTCATAGGTAGCTCGATTGCTCGATCGAATGACTCGGAACCTCGGAAGACTCAAAATTCGTAAACTTGAAAGTTGAAAGTCGGAAGCGATTAAGTGAAAAGTAGAGGGTGTAGTGTAAGCAGTAGTGAGACACCAAATTGCAAAAAAAAAAAACACGCACGCACCGTAAGCACGACTCACGGTTTAGTCCAAGAACAAGAACCGACCGGCTCCCGACTTAACCTTCAATTCGTGTTGTAGAATTTGGAACAATTGTAACGAGAAACACAAGACAAGAGGCTTATTAATATCCTAGTTGATACAATAAATAGATTTATAAATAATAATTCACTCTATCAGGAACCAGCTCCGGCCACCGGGTATAAATTAAACCACGGTTGTCTCGATAGCTCGGTACCTTTCAGTGATATCTCATCCCTCTGTAAGATAGACTCACTTTCTCACTTAGTTTCGTACTCGAGCGACGATTGTGCGTTGGTGTTTTTAAAATATAACTCTTTTATCATATCCCGTCACCGCGTACTCTGGTGCATCTGTAGTATCTGTATACCTAACCGGAGTACCGGTAGCAGAGACGGTCTACACGTATGCGGCCAGTACCAGCACATACATACAACCCCAAACATGGTACGTAGGGACCAGGAGTGAAGCTGTGCTTTATTTTTCAATATTTTCAGATTGTTAACAAAGTCTAATTTTAATCTTGTAGAAAAACAAATCCACACTATCGACGTCAAGATTCTCGAGGAGAAGAAAAAAACGAGCTGTAAAAAAAAATTTAACATCTGTCGTAGCTAAGCATTATAATGAAAAGTGTGCGAGTTACATTGACAGAAATAAGAGTCACATTCTCAACTTGAGGAATTTCAACAACTGGGTGAAAAGTACATTGATCAGTAAGTGTGTCAAAAAAGAATTGAGGTTATTCTGTGTATGTTCACAATTGTAATTGTGCCTTTGGTTACAGAAAAATACGTTGACAAAATCAAACGAAAAAAAGACAGAAGGGCTGCCAGAAAAGCACGGAAGAGCATGGTACCAGTCCCCAATGATGGGCATAGTCAGCACAAAATCAAAGTATTGGACTTGTGTTGTGGAAAAGGAGGAGATTTGCTCAAGTGGGAAAAGTCGAATGTCACGCATTTGACGTGTGTTGATATTGCCGAAGAGTCAGTGAAGGAGTGCAGTGATCGCTGTGTGCAAATGTCCGAAAAACGAGAGCTACCTTTTAGAGCTGAGTTTATAGTGCATGACTGTACAAAGGTAATCTTACATCGAAATGAACAATCATTTGTGATATTCAAATGTGCATTATAAAGTACTATTCTCAAAACGATAACGATTATGTTTTCAGGCTGGTCTTGCAAAAAAATTTGTACACAAAAAACAGGTATTTGACCTAGTTAGTTGTCAGTTTGCTCTGCATTATGGCTTTGAATCTCGGAGGCAAGCCAAGAACTTGCTCAAAAATGCTAGCAGGAACTTGAGGTCTGGTGGCTATTTCATTGGTACAATGCCCAATGAAAGTGAACTACTGTAATTAGCGTTATATATTGTTAAATTTCGTTTTATAATGATTATATAACTGAAAATAATTGTCTTGTTTGTAATTTCAGGTCTAGATGGTATGCTACAAAGGAAAACAAATATGGCAATAATATTTACGATGTTGAATTTTACTGCGACAAATTGAATCCACCTTTTTATGGTGCCAAATATCATTTCTATTTGAAAGACGCAGTTAATTGTCCTGAATTTCTTGTTAATTCTGCTGTCTTACAGCAATTAGCTTTGAAGTATGGCCTTAAATTCATAGTGTTCAAGAGGTACGTACATGCTCAAGTGTTTTATAGTAATTTTATACTATTCCTAGAAAAATTCAGCTAAAATGCTTTAATTTTTTGCCTTTGGTTAGTATTTATTTATTTTGATTATGTATGAATACTTATTATTTTGTAGATTATGTAACTAACTCAATGCAAAATACTTTACACAGTAAATTTTAAGAAACATGCATGTTAAATTAATATTGAACTTTGTGTTTTATAGTTTTAGTGACTATTTTGATAAAATGAAGGAAGTAGGCAAACAGCTTATGCATAGAATGCAAGTATCATATCCCCCGAATTACAAAAATCACAATTTAAGGAACTCTCGCAATAGTTGCAGGACTCTTTCGCAATCCGAATGGGAAGTTATAAGTAAGTATCTCTACGAACAAACAAATCCATGCAAATTTTATAAACGTCTGATTAATTTGTTGTATTTTCTTTCAGCGCTTTACTCGGTTTTTGTTTTTCAAAAAAAGTAAAGTTAGATATTGGAATGGTTTTTAAGTTGCGTAAATCAAATCATTCATACGAATTACATAAGCTGTACATTTAAAACGTTTACAAGAAAAACTTGATATAAATTTAAGTGATGTATATATTGTATTTAAGGCTGTGGATATGTTCAGTAACTGTAAGGCAATTCAATTTGCAACATTAGATTATAAACTGTTTTACTCAAGAGTTATTAATAGATAAAAATAAATAATAAGTTTGTTAATAAAGGACATTTTTTTTACATTTTGTCTAATAGTTTTAACAATATTCAGAGTGTATTGAAAATTACAGTTACTATTACTCTTAAAAGTATTTTTTATTAAGCCATTGAAATGGAAAAACACACTAGTTGAAAAGACTTTGGTTGACACTACTTGTGTGGTGTAGAAAATTATTTCTTAGTAACCGACATGCATTCTATAATTATAAAAAAGTGTCAAGCTGAATTTTTAAAATAGAGTTTGATGTTTCAGTTTCAATTCATAGAGTTAATAAGATTTTGTACAGATGGATATTAAAAATTTGCGCTCATATCTCTATAATAGGTATTTCAATCTTATGTAATAAATGTAAAAAATAATAACTGATGATAAAAAAATGATGAGAATTACAAAAGACCAGATTTAAGCCAAGTAATAAAATTTAATAAGTCAAACTATTTTATTGTTTTAATATTATTTTTTACCAAGTCACCGTGGCTGCAGTCTTTCGTAGTTGCAGGGGCCATTCACATTCACCCACTCACCCCTTATGCGTGGGGAAAGTGAGAGTTTCTCCACTTGTCACAGATCACAGTCCTCACTGCAAAGTTAAATTGACTTTTCTCGAGAGCTCTACCATTTACGTGGAGGAGCCCCCATATCTCAGGTGTCCAGTATCCAGTGAACACCGTCCACTCCTCGTCGGTTAAGCCGGCGCTCTCTGCCGAAGCATCAGATCCAATGCTTATTAGCATCCCCGGAAAACTCCATATTTCATGAGGTAACTCCCTGTATATGCCTGGTGCTTCAGGCCTGAAAACCTGTGGCCCCTGTGGGCAAGGAAAAAAACCACGCAGAAGGAAAATTCCTCGGAAAAACCCGGCCCGAAACACCCGGGGTTCACATAAACTTTTTCAGATGAAAATAGTTTTTGAGAAAAATCTGTATTCACCGGGAATCGAACCCACACCACCTCTAGAACGATGATGTCTATCAGTATACCAAGCATGCTGAACCACTGATTGTGAAACTAGGTAACGCCGCTCTCATATTATTTTTTTCGTAAATATAGTATAAGTTGCAGTTTTTGTTTTTGTCAAATTTCCAATACTTGTTGGAGTTTGGAATATGTTGTAATAGTAATTAATTTTTTTAGTTAGTAAGTAGATACTAATTATGGGTTATAGTATACACACAATATTGTGACCTATCGGAGGGTGAGCAGTTGGGAAAAAGTTTGGGTTTTCAATAAATATATGAAAGTACAATAATTTAATAACTATTGAGAATGTAAGAACGTACTGTGCGTCAAAATGTTTATCGATTAAATACATACATTTTAGAATTCGTAGAATATCGTTAACTTTCTTTGTTTTATAATTAAACAACAAAATTGTTTATAAAAAACAAACCCAGAAAAATCGAGCAGGAACCCCCAAAAAAATATATGCCTACGTATAAAACAAAGATTTAAAGAAAAAGCAAGATCCTTCCGTGTGTGGACCTCGTATTGCACACAAGAGGGTCAATCAATAATTAAAATTAGCGCCAACGGAAATACACCACCCGAGTATCGAACTATCGCGGTGTTGTTCGATATATTTTCATATCGATATTCCTATGTGTGTAAGTATCGATACAGTATTCTATCGATCATCGAATAGCATCATCACAACGTGATGTCTGCAACTCTGCGTCTCTGCAGTGCAGTGCAGTGTGTGTGCACTGAACATGCATGTTCTCACGTTCTCAGAGAGAGAGAGTCAGAGAGTGAGTGCGTACAAAAGGCAGCATTTGGTGTTTAGATTACAATAAGGCAAATTAAAGCCAAAGATAAATCAAGTAAATTGTTATCAAACTTATGATTTTTGCGGTGTGGAAAAATTCATTTACACTTGAGCACGTTTTTTTTCAATTGGCCGTACAGTTGAGTGTTTGTTTATTTGCCATATATCTCGTGACGTGCGTAGGTACGTGTAACTTGTGTGTATACATATCTTTATCGATATAAAATAGGTTATCGTAAACTCAACTCGGTTTCACTGTTACACCTAGTTTTGGGCGAGTCCAGGTCGTTTAGGGGATACATGTATTTTTCTCTGAATTTTTACTTTTAAACTTTATGTCGGTGCTAGGATATAAAGGAAAGCTCCGATCGAACTCCAACGATTTAGTTTAAGCTTCAAGTGAAGTATGCAAATATTCAAAAGTTATTGTTAAATTTTCGCCTACGTGTGTGTGTGTGTGTAGTGTGTGCACACAAACATATAAATTACCCGCGCTTGTGGTGTGTGATGGAACACCAACACGCTTGTGCCTTGTACCATACGCCGTCTGCTAATGCTAAAAGTTGAGAGACTGTTGAGACTTGAGAGTGATAAACTGCTAAGGAGCTACGAGTGTTAACGTTATATATATATATAGAGCCCTGTCTCGAGTGCATGTTTTATTATTCTAAATTCTAAATACTTTCAATTTACATTTATTATGAAAGAAGTATTTGAGAGTGCACTTGACTTTCCAGGCCATTGTAGTGATTTTTTTCTTGCAGGTGTAACAACAGAGATTTATCTGGTGTGTGTATCTTTGAGTACATCAGCTGATTGATGATATACAAAAGAGAGTGTGCAGCGTTTTCGTTGCACCGCTGCTGCTGTAACCGACTCGCATCAGGTACTTACTTTTCTGTTCTTTTGATAAATACAGGCGGTACTGGGATGTAGTTTTATTTTTACAGTTTTAGGGCAGTTGTGTACACTTTTTCATTCTTCATTTTTGTCACTGAGAGTAGGTGGAATTTTTTTCCTTTTTTTTCTTCTTTGTTCAATGTTGCGCAATATTTCTTAACAACTAACAATTGAAAAGTTCCATCTGGTGCTTCGTTTTTGAATTTTGGATAACACAAACAAGCATGAAAATAGATTAATTGAAAAACGGTCTAAGAATTTGTGCAAATCTTTTACGTCTATGAAGACACTTCTATATCAGTACGAGCAGCATTAATCAGCAATGACAAAATACAAAAAAAAAATTAAACATTTAAAGTAGTTTGCGCGCTGCATTATATATTTAGATTCTTGTTTACTTTGATGGGAGTATAAATAGAATCAAGCTTGTTCCAATTGGGTTACTGTCACTTTATCATTACTGGTCATTAAACTTTAACAGATATTGATGCATTATACATTTCATTTCTTCGCACTATTCAAAGTCATTCAAGAATCGGTTACATAAACTCTGTAGGCGCATAAATTAAAAAAATTTGAACAGTCACGGTTGATCAAATAGAAACTGCGATATTTGTTTTTTTTTTTTTTTTTCACCCTGATAACACGAATAATCTAAGTTACATAAATTGCAAGAAAGTGTTCAACTTATTACATATTCCATCCGATCGGTAATATTTTATTTTTTCAAACGAGTCTACGCGAGTCTCATTTCACTCTCAAATTAACCACTGTAAAATAACATAAAACTCTTATTATATTATTTTCACAGGCAACGTCTAACCTCCAGAGCCAATTGAGCGGTGATCGTGGCGTTGAATACGTAAATAAATAGTCATAAAAACGATAAAAATCGAGTCTATCGTACAGCCTGCTGCTGCCAGTGTGGATCATGACATCCACTGGCAGAGCAATGTAATGAGTAGCTGCGGCAACAGGAGCATCATTTGCACAGGCAGCAAGCTCAAGCTACCCTCCTCTACCTCATCGTTATCCTTATCTACCTCTATCACCAAAATTTCGGACAAACTCTTGGAGGAGTCAACGACAGCCAGTGTCAACGACAAACCAACGATTGTCGCGCACACGACCTCCGTCGTTGCTTCTACTGCCACTGAAAGCAGCAACAAAGAGGACAACAAGGAAAACGTGAAGAAGGACGGTAGCATCGTCGTCACTCGGCCGCAGGCCAAGAGCGGTGTCTTCATCTGTCCACGTACCTATTACGTGTCCAGCGATCACAGCTACTCGAGGTTTAAGCCGAGGTCGAGCGGCAATGAGTATCGAATGGCTCGCGGTGGCATTAGCGGTGACCGTGGCCGAGGAGGAGGAGGTGGTAGTGGTGGCTGCAACGGAGGCGGTGGTGGAGGTACCACAAGGGCTCGGGCCTTCAAAAAAAGCGTCGATCGTGACTCGAACTCTGACGGCTACTCGAGACCAAAATTTCAAGAATCGTTGAAGAACCACGAGAACAAGTACTATGACGACAAGAGGACAAACGGTAGGAATCACCTATATTTGGTTTTCATTTGCCGTATACGTACCATATAGTTCAAACGTGGCTTTTTGCAGAAGATTCTAGAATATCGAAGTTACTGAGACGTTTGTGCCGAGAAGACGACTACGATCACTTCTTGGTGCTCTGCAAGCAGTTGCAGGAGGGTATTAGCGCTCCCGAGAATCAACGCTACATCAGACGCAATCTCGACGTCATCTGCGAGAATTTGCTCGACCTACTGTACAATGGGCCGAGCATGGAGGCTAAGAACTACGTGGCCAAGTGCCTGGGACGCATTGGATATGTTGCCGATCAAGATTTCAAAAGGTACAACCCGAATGGATTAGTCCAATGGAATTTTTCGACATTATCTCAACTTTTTATTTGTTTTTCCAGATACATGGAATGGGTGTTTAACAAGTACTCCAGTGCATTGGAGTATAAGGATAGCAACAACATCAAATGTTTACTCATAAAGGCGTTTGGTGAAACCCTGAAGCTCGATGCAGAATCACCAAAGTTGAAAGATCACGCCATGGTAATCACATAGCATTGAAATCTCTGTCTCTTTTCAAATACTCTCGTCACCGAATACGAGTCCTTATAATATTCTAAATTTCAGACGGTAATGTCGCAGCTGCAATCAGCTTTAGAAAACGTCGACCGTCCGGATCTGCTGGTAGCTACGGTCGACTCGATCCTTCTGATGGTCGAGTCCTACCCGGACAGTTTCAACGGCCACTTTCGCAACACCGTAGACATCCTGGTCGGCTGGCACATCGACTCCATCCGGCAAAAATCGGTGGTAGCGTACGCGAGTCGCAGCCTGCAGCGCCTTTCCAACTTTTGGATCGCGGATCTGCCCTTCACGCTCACCCTGCTTGGCCAATTTCTCGAAGACATGGAGAACTACGACGAGGAGCTGTCGCTGCCCAACTCGGGCAGAACGTCTCCCGGTAGTGGTGGCGGCGAGGTGGACGAGGCACCGTGTCCGAGGGACTGTCTATTGAGAATCACGTCTGTTATCGCGGTTTTTAACACCGTCATGCGCTGCATCAAAGAACATCTCAGTCCGAACTTGACGCCCAGTATGCAGTGGTCTTTTCTCATGGACTGTCTGTCCAAGATGCTGAAGATGGTCGTCAAGGCGGTCGAGCTTGATGATTCCGCGGAAATTTTGAACAGCACCGATGTTGGACTGTCTCAGGTACTGGGGCTATTTATTTTTTTCCTTCAATATACGCTTACTTCTCGGTTCAATTGTAATGTTAATCCTACTGTTGCAGGAGAACATTGACAGTATAACGCGGAACATGAGAAACATGAACATATCTCAAAAAAACATCGATACGTTGTTCCGAAACATGAGTAAGGATGGTGACATGAACGAGGACAGCCTCGTGAAGCTGATAAAGTATCTGAACTTGAAGAAAAACGACAAGAAGAACTGCAAGATAAACGACAAAGAGCGAACTCTGACGCTGTCCAAGGAGAAGGAAGAATCTCTGATCAACTTGATCAAATCCATGGATCTAAAATTCAAGAAGAACTCTGATCTATCTGACGAGAAGGAGGAGCTTGTCGTTGTCGCGAACGAGTGTACGTGCCTGTTGCTCGGCTATCTCCAAAGCCGCGTGTCGAAAAACCACGATCTTCTGTACAAGTTCATCGACCTCCAGCTGCACCGAGTTGACATATTCTGGGACGACACGATAGTCTCGATGCTCAACACCATCTCAAAAGTCATCAGGGAAGTCTCGGCCAATCTACCCATTGACCTGGTGCACAGCCTATTGGGTAAAAACACGGTGCTGTCGCAATTGCGCTTCCGTAGCTCTGTGGTCATCCAAAATGCGGTGCTCGGCGTCTATCACAGCCTGTTAAGCTTGAAGAACATACCGTTGCTACAGGAGGCCTATCGGTACATACTTGCTGATTTGGAAAACGCGTTCAACATCGTTGCACCGATTACGGATGTGCCACTCGTGTCCGATAATCCGTACACCGAAGTACAGTACCAGAGACAACACGCCGAGATCGTGATTGTGTTTTTGCTGCGCGCTCTGTCGGATATTGGTGAGTGTTGTGAAATTTTTATTTTCAGCATAGACACTCGATGGTTTGATTATTTTTGCTTTTTTTTTTTTTTATAGCCAACGCAAGTAATTCGATCATCGGAATGTGGGCGTTGAAGCCAAGCATCTTGGAATTGCTGGCTGTGAGGCTGAAACCACACGATCCGACCCTAGCCCTTGAGAGTCCCCTATTGCAGTTCCATATACTGTTTCTCCTGTACACGCATTGCTCGAGGTAAAAAGAATAAAAGAAGTGGTAGAAATTGTTCTTATTGCTAGAGTAGTAATAAAAAATTTTCGATTCTAGGTATAATCATTTCGTGCCGAGCTCAAGTTTGATAACAGGCACCAGCTCCTGCCGCCCGCTAGATATTTTCCCAGGCACTCTGGAAGTGCCCACAGTATCTCCCACAAGTGGTCATTTGTCCGTGATTTTGAATCTGATAGCGAAAAGCATCGAGAATGAAAAAACGCCCGATCAAACCTTGCTGCTGCTGCTCGACTGGATACAAGAGATCTACGGCCAGGCTGAAAATTACCTCGGAGTGCTCAGCAAAACCAACGAATGCCAAGCCGTCATTGCGAGCTTGTTAGTCTGCGGAGCTTCCACGAATCACAAAATATCCACAGCCGTACGTTTCGTTTATCCTTGTTTTTTTTTCATCACACCTTTGTGTGGTCTAATGTCGTTGCGATCGATTTTCAGGTGTGCAAGAACTTGGACAGTTTGATAAAAGCGAAGCAAGTCTCGTGGCCCGACAAAGTTTACGCGAACATCGTCGATCTGGCGATACTCCACCTGACCTCCTTCTCCGAGCCTGTTCGCAAAAATTACAGGAAACTGTTGATGAACGTCCCGTTGAACATCGTTCTGTCAAAGTTGAACAAGGCTGGTTTGCTGGCAAATTACAAGGTAACCCGTTTTTCGCGTGATAAATTTTGTCTACGATATTCACGTTATTTTTTCATCATTTTCCTTGATAGAAGCTCAAGGACGTTCAGAACTACTCGTCCGAATCTCTGGTGTTGTCGCAGAGACTCCACATGCGTAGGAACAACGGGGAACTGCAAGCACAGCACTTCAAAACCTACATGGCCTTTCTCCTGCAGGAAAACTATTTCGATCCTCGTGGCTTGTCCGAAATTTTCACGCTCTCTTGGCCCTCCGTGTAAGCACTCCTTGTCCTCTCGGTAACCGTAAAAAAAAAAAACAAAACAAAAAATGTATTCTGCCTCTACGTAAAGATCCTGAATTTTCAGATGCGACACCGTAACGATGACCAAAATGTACGAGTTTGCGCTCTCGAATTTGTTCTTCCTGTACTTTTGGGGTGGCTTCGAGGCAGCCCAGCACTGTGTCCTGAACAAACTTCGCACGCCACTGGGCAAGCCGCAGGATACCTTCACGACCATCGAGGGCGCCCTCAAGCAGCTCGCGCGGGAGATATCCTACGCGGCCTGTCCCGAAAGCACCTCGAAAAAAACCAAGGATCTGGATCAGCTTCTGCACGAGCACACCCGTGTCAGGCTGCTCGTCGAGTTTCTCGAGCACCTCGAGCGCGTCATCCACAATGCCGCGGAAGGCTGCGCCGTCGCTCTCATGCCGCACTCCAAACCCGTGCGCACGTTTTTCCACACAAACAGGTTAGACAATTGGCTCGTTAGTTGGTTAAAAACGCGTTTATTCATCCTCTTGCTCCACAGGTCCACCTGCAAAGAGTGGCTCAACCGCATAAGACTGGCCCTGTGTGTGGTGTCGCTGCATGCGGGTCTGGCGCCCAGTGCACTGAGAAACGGCCAGCGTTTGCTCGAAGATCTCAGCGCGGCCAACAACACGCAGGGCACCGAGTTCGAGAGAGCGACCCTCTGTACCGCTCGAGCCATGGTTATGCTGGGCGAAGCCGAAGCTCTTCAAGGTAAATTTCACCCCTTGGAGGAACAACGAAAACGTCGTTTTTATCGCTCTTTGCACTTTGTTGGGTTTAGGTTTGTACATGTACACAAAGGACAAAGATCGTAAATTCATTTGGTTGAAAGCTGCGATGGAAGAGGCGGCTGGCAAGCATGAACTGGCCGCCGAAAACTACCGCCAGATCCTCGAGGACAAACTTTTGTCTCGGCCCAAGGAAGAGCCGGACAACGGGGAGATTCGTCCGAAAAACGACCCTGAAGATTCTCAGGTAGTCGTGTTCTGCATGGAGCGCCTGTCCAAGTGTTACCAATCGCTGGGTGCGTGGTCGCAGCTCGAGGACTGGAAGTGCCGCGAGACCGAGATTCTCGAGCAGGGAAAGAGCACGAGCCTGCGCAAGCAGATGTTCGAGAACGTAGTGCCGCAACAAGCAACGTGTCTTCGCAAATTCGAGGAGGCCGAGGAGCTGTCGTTGGAGGAGCTGTCCAACTGGACTCTGCTGGATGAGAAAGCGCGCATAAACTGGAGCTGCACGAAAACGATGGCCGAGTGCTCCAATACCCTGACGAACGTCGCGCTCCGGCTTCACGCGGACGACTCGACGAGCCACAATTGGTACGAGATGATCGAAAAGTGCCAAAAAATCGCGGCGAGAAGCATGGAGGAGGGCCTCAGGAATATGCCCTCCGAGTACCTAAACTCCGCCATATTGCTGCAGTACTCGGCCGCCGGGCTCTTGGATCTCTTGAGCAACGAGTCGCGCAGCTGGGCCAACGTGTTCGAGCTCTCGGCGGTCGACAAGGTCAGCCATTTGAGCTCGAGGGTGCTCACCCAGGTGCTCTGGTGGTCGGACTACTTCCGTCGAGCTGACGGGCGTTTGACCGTCGACACCACGAACGAGGTGAACAGTTTGCGGCTGCACGTGGCGCACAGCGCGCGCAAGGAGGGCAACTTTGGCCTGGCGCAGCGCGAGTTGGGCAAGTACTTTGCTTCCGAGCATGGGTTTGGGACGCGCAGCTGTGTGTTAGACGACATCGTTGGGGATATATTGAACGGCTCGATTGTCGCGGCCGAGGTCGACTGGACGAAGAACAACATGAGAGCGTTCAGGGAGACCTCGAAATTGCTCAAGGACATGGAGAGGAGCGAGGAGGCGCTCAAGGTGTGCAGCGTCACGGCCCTCGGAATATCCAGAAGCATCGTCAATGCCGGGGAAGAGGAGACGTCTGCCGAGCTCAGGGAGGTCGGTACCGGAGTTCTGCTGACGCTGGGTAAACTTTGTACACTTTGACCCGTCTTTGCTTTTGTTCGGATGATCTTTGAGTGACGTGGCTTCGATTTGATTTTAGGAAAATGGATACAACAGGAGGCCAGAGTTGACAACAATCCCCAGTTGGACGAGCTCATGTGTTTCGAGTCGTTGCACAACGATGGCCTCATGGACAAGCTGTTCGGCAAAACGACCGAGCTCATACCCCCTTCCGACGTGATTGTCGGCAAAGTCGTTCAGCTCGGTGTTAACCAGTGCCCGGATTTACCGGCCGCTTGGTCGAACTTTGCCGGCTGGTGCTACAAGTGGGGCCGTAAGATCGTCGACAATTCGAACAGCGGATTGCTCAGCGACATCGACAAGACCAACATACAGTCTTTGCTGCCTATCGATATCAACGATGATGATTTCAATGCCGTGCTCATGATTCTGGGCCAGAAGAACAGAGTCGTGCCCGAAGACGAAGGTAGGCTACATTTTGCGTTTTGGTCAACATGTAGCTTAAATTGGTCTTTTAATCACAGGTGACATCGACACGAGCGACATAAATACATCCGAGAGCATCGAGAGCCTCTTGCGTAGCGTACCGATTCTAAGTTGCGCCAGCAGCGAACACCTCGGGATGCTGGTCGATATCTGGCGACAAGCGCAGTCGCGAATCTACGCTTACTACGAGCTGTCAGCCAACGCCTATTTCAAGTATCTGCAATTAGGTGAGTGAATCGTCGTTTGTAAAATTAATGAAGAAATAGTACAACGATGTGCAAAAACAACCAATCGATCCTGTGCAACGCAGCCAAGGATGCGAACGACTGCGAGACGATAACAGCAACGTTGCGCCTGCTCCGCTTGGTCGTGAAACACGCCTCGGAGTTGCAGAACGTCCTGGAGTCCGGTCTGTCCACCACGCCCACCGGTCCGTGGAAGGAAATCATTCCTCAGCTGTTCTCTCGTCTCAGCCATCCGGAGTGTTACGTGCGAACTCGCGTCACCGAATTGCTGTGCCGCATCGCTGAGAACTCGCCCCACCTCATTACCTTCCCTGCCGTTGTCGGCGCTGTGTCTGGAAAACAAAGGAACTTCGAGGGCGCTGCTTACGGAAAGAACAGCGGCAGCGACGATGCGCCGAGTGACGTAGATTATTTCCTAGTCGACGATCAGGACTACGCTCAAGAGGCCAACCAAGGCTTCATGGACGTCTGCTTCGCCCAACTGACCGATTGTCTGTCGAACAGGATTCCCGACTCTGTCGATCAGGTTAGAAGGGGGCATTGCTGATTTTTCGCGTGATTTTACGTAGGTTTTTCCCTTACGTGTTTTTGTCCCAGGTGAAAATTTTGGTGAGAGAGCTGCGGCGAATCACCTTGTTGTGGGATGAGTTGTGGCTCGCCACTCTGTGCCAGCACCATTCGGAGATCACGAAGCGCTTCGAGCAGCTCGAGCTCGAGGTGCAAAAAGTCCAGGACAACATTTGGCTGACGCCCGAGGAAAAGGAAAAACTTGTAGCCGAAAAGCACCGGATCATACTCAAGCCCATCGTGTTTATTTTGGAGAATCTCTTTTCCATGACCTCGGTGCCGGCTGAAACCCCGCACGAAAAGAATTTCCAGGTACCCGAACGAACTAGAGCTTTTTCCTCTCGTTGGACCTTCGCGCGTTAACTTTTTCCGGGTTTCAGGAAAAATTCGGGCCGTTCATCGAAAAAGTCATCGACAAACTCAAGAGTCCGAAAAACCCCGCGAAACCGCAATCGGCGGCCTCGCTTTTGAAACAGTTGGAGACTAAATTGGCCCAAAAAGTCCACAAACGCGCCTACTCCCTCGCCATGTCGGACATCAGTCCCACACTAGCCAAATTCAAGGATACCTGCATCGCCATGCCCGGCATTTGCACGGCAAAGTAAGATACATTCTTTTGCATCAATATCACTGACGAAACACGATAGTAACCCTTCTTTTTTTCTTTTTTTTTTTTTCATTTTGCAGTATGGTGACCATAAAATCCGTGGACAATCACGTGCAAATCCTACCAACGAAAACGAAACCAAAGAAGCTGATATTCCGCGGCTCGGACGGTCAAGTCTACACGTACCTGTTCAAAGGCCTGGAGGATCTGCACCTCGACGAGCGTATAATGCAATTTCTGAGTATCTGCAACACAATGATGTCAAAGGCCAGCGACGACGACGGCGTTGGCAAAAAGGTCTACCGAGCACGCCACTACTCGGTCATACCGCTCGGGCCACGCTCGGGTCTCATACAGTGGGTCGACGGTGTGACGCCTCTGTTCGCGCTCTACAAGCGTTGGCAGCAGCGCGAGAGCGCCATGACCAACAAGGCTAGCGGCTCGGCGGTGCTGAGGCCCTCGGAGCTCTTTTACAGCAAACTCACGCCTCTGCTGAAGGAGCGCGGCATCGCGACCGACAATCGCAAGGAGTGGCCCTTGCCTATCCTGAAGCAGGTGCTTTCCGAGCTCATGGCCGAGACGCCCAAGGATCTACTGGCCAAGTGAGATTCGGTCTATTGATTCAAGAGTACGGAAAGGGGAAAAATGGTGGATGTGGAGTTTGATTCGTTTTATCTGGTTTACAGAGAAATCTGGTGCAACAGCTTGAATGTCGGCAGCTGGTGGCAGGCGACCAAAAATTACTCGTACTCTGTGGCGGTGATGTCGATGATTGGCTACATTATCGGCTTGGGTGATCGACACCTTGACAATGTACTCGTCGATTTGAACACCGGGGAAGTCGTGCACATCGATTACAACGTTTGTTTCGAGAAAGGAAAGACCCTGCGCGTACCCGAGAAGGTGCCGTTTCGTATGACGCCGAACATCAAGACCGCACTTGGTGTCACTGGCGTTGAGGTGAGTGTTTTACTTTACTAAATTCATTTTTAAATAAGTTGGCTTTATACCATGTGGTCCCTGAGTATTGTCTACTTGATTTCACTTGTAATCAGAGTGTTTTGTGCAACAAGTAAATTATTTTAAACGTCACTGATGTATCCTGTAAAATTTCAATGTACAGTAGTCCTGTCCGAGATAAAATTTTTTTGCAGCTTTCTTCTCTCCCAAAATTTTTAAGATTGCACCCTGATTCGGGATTACCAGTCTCGAAAATTTTTTTCAAATCCCATCTCTTCTTGAGAAATTTATTTCAGGATAGTTGAGGTTTTTATATTTCCCGAAATAATTTTTAGGGTTACCAGAGTTTCAATGAGCCGAGACTTTTTCTTGTCCCAGAAAAAAAATATCCCAAAGATATATAACTCTTAATGTCTCACTCTTTTAAAATAAGAAATTTATACCCTCACATCCAGGAGAATTTGTATCAGCTGTGTACTGCGGAACATACCTAAATTATTTTAGAATTTTCCGAGTTGCAGAACTCTCTCGTAAGCAGAAAATTGAACAAGTACAAATTGCAATTGATAAGGTTTTTGGCTTAAATAGATTTTTACTAGTTTGTACTAGTTTTCAGTTACACTGGATTTTTCCGCATCATGGAAATTCTAATTTATACATGTTCCACAATGTACTATTTAAGTTACAGTCAAAAATCTCTAATGCTTGCATGTATTTTTTTCATATCTGGCTTAATTATCGATTCAATAAGATTTTCCGCAAGTCACAGAAGTTTTCAGTAATTTTTGAAGTTCTGACTTGAATATAACAGAAAACTCTATAAACAGTAGGTTTTATGGAGTTTATTGGTTTTTAGAGGTTTTTCCGCAGCTTTTAAAATCATGAAGTAGTTTGTGTGCATTACCTTGCCGCTCATACATTTTCACGTAAGTATTAGCACGTTTGTGTGAGTCTTTCTCAGAAAATTAATTTAGCCACGTATTTATACAAACTTTTTTAAAGTTGAAAGTGCTTTTCCGGGTATTATAACCTACTTTTCTAAGTACATTTTAACGGTTAATATGTTGTAAGCCATCATCAACTAAATAAATTTTCAACTTTTGCAATTTGGACTGGTTTAAACTTTAGATACAGAATTTTTTTTAACATAACTTTTACTACGAATACAAAACTTTCATGAGGCGAATAATTAAAAATGTGTATCCGATGTTTGGTCCAAAACAAATTTTTAATCTAAAGTTTTATCCTGAAACGTACTTTTTCAAAACGTCATATTGCAAGGATTATTGGAAAATCTTACTCCATTTGTTTAACTTCTGTTGTGTAGTTGGTATTATGATTCCTGCAGATATCACGATTTTTAGATCATAAGTATTCATTTGAGAACTGAATTTTTTTTTCATTTAGTAAACAGTCATAAGTATTATGTATGGTTACTCTTTTTGCTTTAGAAAAAATGTAAATACATACGCAAGTCTAAAATTTTATTTGAGGTTGAAACAATAAATATTCATAAAAATATTTTTTATTATAATAAATATAAATAATGTTTATCACAAACTATTTAGTCAATATTTGTACGTATGCAATATATACCAACAAACACAGACGCTTAGTGTCTTGTTCTATTGACTGGGTGCAAGAGTTCAGTGCTGCCCCCATTTTTACGGACTTTTTATGTTAAGTTAAATGGGGTAAAATTAGTTGACGCGGCCACCACTGGCGAATTCACCGGACGATTCCATAAGGCTATATGTAAAAGTGACAAGTGGCGCCAGCCCTCCCCTCCTCCAACTCGCACACAGCGAATACTCATATCTCACAGAGACTTAATGCAGAGAGGTATTAAAGTATCCTTTAATTATCTAGATACATGTCATTAATTTCTAGTCAGCACTTTAAGAACAAAAAAAAAATGTTTACCAAGAGAGGAAGAGGTTATGTCAACCGAAAAGCTTTCACCGTTCCATAATTTTATACTTTTTTTCTTAATAAAATTAATTAAATAAAATTTCGTAAATTTAAAATTAACCAAAGAAGAGCGCTGCAATTTATGGCTTTGAAAAAAAAAAGAAAAAGGAAAATAGTCAATCGTTTTAACCAAACATAACCTCTAATTCGTAAATTCTTTTAATACTTCTCAATATTTCTTTATACACTGTACAAAAGTATAAAAATCCAAAAAAATAAGCGTACCAACTGTACATTCTCAAATCCATTATAAATAATATAGTAATAAAATTATTATGGTCGCTTAAAAATCGTATTTACAGTTCAATGACCCTCGGAGCTTGTCTTAATCTCGATAACACAGACATTCGTCTCTTTGACAGCTCTTCTCTCGGTAAGCCTGGTCTGATTCCTCAACTGATTCAAATTGGCATTGTAATCGTTTTGATCGGGTAATTTAAATTTCAACAAACTGCGAAAGGCTTCGCGGAAGTTTCGGTTCTTCCACGCGTAGATGAATGGGTTTATGCCGGCGTTGCACATAGCTATCCAATACACCACGTGGTACGCGGTTAAGCTGGGTTTATCCTCCATGTGCAGAACTTGTAAAATCGCCAGTGCGACGTAAGGCATCCAACAAATCGTGAAACACCCGAGGATTGGAAGTACGATCTTAAAGAAAAAAAAACAAAATGAGAGATTGAAAAGAAAACTTTGGTACGAAAAAACCAGGTTAGGTTTAGGTTAGGTGGGGCATTCTGCATGTGTGTGTTTGCAGGTCTATATACAAATGAAAATCGTCACTAGTGCACCTTTGGGATGAAGTTTTTTTTCTCAAGAAGATGTTATGACAAGTTATCGTACATTGGATCAGCAGGCAGAAAGCTGTCTCATGTACTAATGCTATAGTCGTGAAAAAAAAAATTATGTACGTACCATACCAAGACGTCTTTTTTAACTAAAGGACCACCCACACAATACCAAATTTTTTTTTAACCATTGGTTATGGTATCTTCTACCTCTCCCTTGAAGTAGTCCCGCGGGCCGAAAGGTCGAAAAATTCTCCAGGGGTGAAATGGGGCATGCATGAAGTAAGGTGGTCAATCAGTAGTATAGGCAATGTATGGGACGGCCGGCCGAATGCATCCTAATCCACTATTTATATAATACCTATTACTCTTGAAGATTTATTTACGCGTTGTTATTTCTCCTTAAATGGTGAAGAGCTGAAGTACATAATTGTCATCCTTGTCATGGCATCTTAATTGTTTTTTTTGTTCCAAAGCTTCCTCACTCTGCGTTCTAGATTCGTCGAATTCTTTGTTTCATAACTCATGTTATTTAAAAGTTTGTCAAACTGTTTATTTTGTAAGTAACACTGGTTGATACTTACTGATCAAACTACTTACAGATTTTTTAAAGGTTAAGTTTAAGTGATTCTAGAACTACAATTTAGCTTACACTTTTAGGAGTTACGGGTATCGGCGCCGGTCAGGTTTTAGGTATATTATTAAGAAGTTCCCTTTTACAGAACTATTTAGCTTAAAAATTGCCATTTTAACGGTTTAAAAGGTTTTTTGAGGTTAGGTACATTGAAGATTCAATCTTGTCGATGTAAAAAATAACAACAAATCTTTCAAGAGTGTAGTGGATTAGAATGCGTTTTGTCTGACGTCCCATACATTGACCTATACTACTGATTGACAACCCTTATTTCTAACCCCTGGATGGTTTCACTCGACCCTTAACCCTCGGAACTATTTCAAGGGAGCTTATAAGCTACCATAACCAATAGTTTTTTTTTTTTTTTTTTTAATTTGACCGGTTCACTAAATCCCATGTATCGCGTGTGTGGTTCTTTCATTTTTAAGTTACGCTCGTGAATATTCTTAGAAAAATAGATAAATTCTCCAAAAAAATCCTCGAAAATTATTTGAAAAATCATTTATGGTAATTATCACAACTTAGAGGTGGTGAGAGTATTGACGTGGGTGGGGCCTATAATAACATTACAGCATACGTTAGAATATCTGTTATTTTTTACCTGGTTGCTCTTGTAGAGGTGGGAATCTGGGCCGTCCTGGCCCATCTCTTGCGACCTCGCTTTCGTTCTTCGCACGTGTGACCTTGCTTTTTTCCAGATTCTCCAGTATAGTATCAAAATGCTGAACCAGGCGGTCAGAAACATTGGCGTCATGATGGCCACAATGTAGTACCTGGAAAAGAAAAAAAAAAAAGTTAACCCTATGTATGAATCTTATACTGATTAACTGTAAAATTGGAAAATTACAAATATTGATAGAAATCGCACGTTACAAACTCAAGGGTTTGAAATAATGAAAGATTCGAATCACATTATGTATCAATGATTTTTTTTTGTATGGAGGACAGAAGAAGTAAAAAAATTATAATAACCGACGTGGAGTTCCAACTACCATAGTTTAACGGTAAAATTTACTATAGTTTATTTTTTCCTTGTGGTTTGTAAACAATCTTTCCTGACCATGTTTAAGCCATGATTTTTTTTATTTTCTTTAATGCAAACATTTTTTTGTACACGACCCTTATCTTTTGAATACAAAATTAAGAAAGTTTCGAAAAAAAATCTACTGTTGAAACTTTCGATGCTACACAGTTCGTAAAGCTATTGACTATTTTTAATAACAAAAAAAAGTTCAAACTTTATCTAAGAAAATTTTTTGAGTTATATCTTTTTCATTAATTTTTTCATAATAGAAAAACACACACATGCTTATCTTAAATCAACAACAAAACACAACTAATACCCAATCTTTTTTTTTTTTAATTTTCTGGGTAGCAACATAAGTCATAGATTATTTAAAACACCTAATCCTATTCAACCGAAAATGACGTTATAACTTGTGAAACTGACAATGTTTGTATGAAAAAAAAAGAAAAGAAAAAACAAATAAAATAGTTAGCAAAATAAATAGTAGTGTGTCAAAAATTTTTTATATGGATATTTAAATTAGNGGATTCATCGATTATAAATAAAAATGTATGAATATTTTGCGAGATAATTATATAAT